CTTTCTAGGTTACTGTCATTAACACTGTACAGCCTTCAACAATGAGTAAATCCATTTATAATATTGTATAGTAAGCTATAAATAGCCCAGAAATGACAAATGTAAAGCATTTCAAACAGAAAACTAACAGTCTGATTTATATACAATTTAATTTTTTAATAAAAAACAAATATGATATACATGTATACAAAGTACATATACAGAAACAAAGGACATCTGAATTACATGCATTTCAGGCTTTTAAGGCTTCTTTTTCTGGATTTACCATTGTGTGCTTCCTTGTTATCTTTTATGTAATTTTTTTTTGCCATTTACTTGAATATTGGGGATTTTTGGATGCAATATATCTCCAATATGCAACTCCAGATGTACAAAGACCAGTCCTTGGATTGCATGAAACCTCAGAAATCTTCATCATCATGATTACATGATGCCTATGTGAAACTATTATTCTTAATATGAGTGAGGAACTGAAATACATACATGTACATTGTATTTACTGTATAATTGTTTGTTATATATCACGGTGGACATCACTGACTTCATATCACTCTTTACTGTTGCCAGACTCACTTTAAGCAACCTTGGAATTGCATTTGTATTTCACTTTTCTTCCTATTCCTAATCATGCTAATTAAGCCATACAAACAAAAATAATTTTTTGAGAAAAAGTATGAATATAAAAAAGAAGACGTGGTATGATTGCCAATGAGACAACTATCCACAAGAGACCAAATGACACAGAAATTAACAACTATAGGTCAACGTACGGCCTTCAACAATGAGCAAAGCTCATACCGCATAGTCAGATATAAAAGGCCCCGAATGACAAATGACAAGTTACTCAATGTGTACTACAAGTACAACAGTGAGTAGTTTATTTCTCCATGATGGAAAACAAAACCTGATCATTCCTTAATCATCTTTTAAAATCAGTTGGCAGTCTGGCAAAAATGAATTCTTGAAAATACAATTTTTCATGAACATGATAAATGTAGTTGAGCATGTTAAGATAGAACTACACTTTGTATGCATTAACTTCAGTTGGACTTGATTTTATCTTTTATGACATTTGATTTCTATGATTTTCATGCTTACAATTTATATTTTTAAACATGATCATAAATGTACCATTAATTTGCACTAATACATTTGTATTTCAATATTTTCATTTCTGTTTTGCAGATTTTCCAGAAAAACTACATAATCATTAATGAGCTACATAACAGACATAGAGCTATCAGAGTCACATATAAAGCCTTGGCGGCAGCATGTTATAAGATGTTTGAACCAAGACTGTTGACATACTACCCTTTTGGATGAATTAAAGCCTGAAGAAGTTTTGATCATTATGGACTGGGCCATGAATTTTTTGCCCTAATCTTTCAAGGAAAAGGAATCAAAATTTAAAGTGGTTTGGTTAGGAGGGACTGAATTGGCTTGTGTGTGTCTGCATCTTCAAAGATAATGACTTGATTGATTATTTGTGAAATTTTTTTTCATAGAATTATAAAGAAAATAATGCTTTTAATTGGTTTTTGTCTTGCCTGTGAAAAAAATAGCACTATGCGAGGCTAAGGGATTACTATCTGACTGCATCAGTGTGAACTATTTGTGTAAATCTTTATATTTTAGAAGGGAGAAGACCTGGATGTTTCACACCTTGTAAGCAGATACCTTATGCTAAGAAGTTTCCTTCTGTCATGTGTCCCTTTTCCTTGACCTTATTTTCATGGTTTAGCAAAACCATAAAATATATATCAAGCAGGTGGTTAGTGTTGAAAAACTTTAAAAACAAATCAGTTTTTTTGTCATGTGAATTTCTCACTTATTAGTCCCCTACCGACGAAGTCGAAGAGGACTTTAGGTTTGCACTCCGTCCGTCTGTCCGTCTGTCCATCCGTCAGTCCGGCAAATCAGTTTTCCACACTTTTTTTCTTCGTTCTTGAAGATATTGATTTGATGTTTGGTATATAGTTTTATAATGACAAGTTATAAATCAAGTTAGAATTTTTTCCAGGTCTGATGATTTAGTCCAGAGTTATGGACCATAACTCTGGACCATATCTGATGAAAGAGTACTATGTAAACCATATTTCTGTACAAAGGGAGATAACTCATTTTTTAAAAGACATTCTTTGATAAATTGTTTGAAGAATTTTTTTGCAGGTTTGTTTATTATTTTGTATAAACTAATTTTCTGAATGCTATATACATGATATATATACAAAAAAAATATGAAGTGAAATTCTTTAATTAGATAATAGTCTATTTTTATTAATGTATATATTTCATTACATTACATTGTGTAGATAAAAATTGTTGACATTTTATAGATAAGTTACAAATCTATAGTAGTTTGTGACAATTGAAAGAAAAAATGTTTGGAACTATTAATTATATTTGATTATAATTTGAAAATAGATATAAACTGTATTACACCATATCTGATTTTAGATAACTATTAATCATATCTAATTTTAGAGTGTTTTCCACACTTTTTTTCATCATGCTTGACGATATTGATTGATAATTGGTATATAGTTGTATCATGACAAGTTACAGATCAAGTTCGAATTTTTGTTTCCATCTGATAATTTTGTGCAGAGTTATGGTCCTTGGACTTCCAAAATTCACTCATATAATCAGTTTTCCACACTGTTTTTAGTCATGCTTGTAGATATTGATTTGATATTTTCTTTTTGTTTTCTCCATGACACGTTATAGAACAAGTTAGCATTTTATTCCAATACAATGAATTTTTACCCGGTAGGGAACTATGTATTGCCATGCAATACTCTCAGAATGCTTGTTATGAATAATAAGATTTGTTATGCCCTTCTTAGGGCATTATGTTTTTTGGTCTGTACGTGTTAGTTTGTTCGTCTGTCTATTAGTTCATCCATAGCCCACTTCAGGTTAAATTTATTTGTCAAGGTAGTTTATGAGGAAGTTGAAGTCCAATTAAATTGAAACTTATTACACATTTTCCCTATGATATGATCTTTCTAATTTTAATGCCAAATTAGAGTTTTGACCTCTAATTTCAGAGTCCTCAGAACACAGTATTAGAAAATGATAGTGTGAGTGGGACATCTGTGTACTTTGGACACATTCTTGTTGTATATATGGGTTCCTTGTAATGCCTACATGTCTGTCAGAGAGGGTTCACATGACCTTGACCTCATTTCATGGATCAGTGATCAAGGTTTAAGTAAGGTGATTAGGTTCTTTTCTCAGATACTATAAACAGTAGGTCATCTGTATGTGTGTATGGTATGATTGTAAAGGGACACAATAACTACTAAATTGAAAGGGGTTCATACCCCCCCCCCCCCCCCCCCCCCCCGGGTCATTTGTCTCCATGGCAACCAAATTTACTTTTGAAACTAATTTCTTTATTTTCAATAATTTGATGATACTTGATGGAAAAAATTATAGAAATAAAATGTGTGATTAAATATTTTATCATTATTAAGCATACATTTATTAAAAATGTGTATTTCTCAAAATCGTTGTGTTCTGTTTCCATGGAAACTGGTAGTTGATTTGAGGATATCTATAATCAAATAACTGTTTTCTTTACTTTGTTATAATGTTTAGGTATAATAGAAGTTAAAAAGACATAATCAAATGAATTGTGCTATGAATACATGAAAAAAATTTAGCTTACTGTAAAAAAAAAAATATCAGCAAATAAAAAATGAGACAAAAAAAACTTTTTTTTCCGAAAAATCTAAAGGATCTTAAGGACAATTATTTTTAATATGTTATAGACAAAGGTCCAATAAACAAATGCTAACACAGAGGTTATTCATAGAACCCTGTTCATGGAAGAAAATAGAATTTGAAAAACGTTATTTTCACTCCTTTTAAGAAAATGAAAAACTGCAACGATTGGTTGCCATGGAAACAAGAGTTGCCATAGTTGCAACTTCTGTTTATCAACTTTTATTTTTAGAACAAATGTAAAACTATGATAATATGTATTTGTTTTATCGAAATTAATTAGCTGTTTATAAAAAAAATCTGTGATGAAAAACAGTAATTTTTGAGGTTTTAGGACTGAAATTAAAGAGTTGTTATGGTGCCATTGTAACCATAGCAACCAAATGTACAACAAATGTTTTACTGTTTTTTTTTTAGTTTTCTATCAAAATAGAACATATGAAGCTCCAAAAAGTCAATTTAACAACCATCACTGAATCACCCTCTGCATGATTCTTAGGTGGAGCTATACTTAAGAACAGTGATGATGCTCTAAAAGTCAAACAAACAACAACAAAATTAAGTATAGTTTTTGCACTGGGCGATTGTGTACATTTTTTCTCGACCAGTATGAATGACTGTAAAGCGTTCAGTACATTCCCATTTATACAAATTTGTTTGTGTGATAATTTTTGAATCAATAACATCTTATGGTAAGACATTAAAACATTTATAATGGTTTATCTTTTCACCTTGTCTGACTAATCATCGTATTTCAACAATGTACAAATCTGTAACCATGCGTGATGTTTTGTAGACAATTTCGTCTTTTAACTTTTTGTCTTTCCTTTTTGTTTTTCTAATTTCTATTGTCCCTTTCATCCGTAGGACTATGGATAATAGAATAATTTTATTCACGTCTCTATGAAAAAAGTAAAAATAACAAAAATACCGAACTTGTATGACAGTCGCATAAAATTCCATTATATTGACAACGATTTGTGAACAAAACAAACAGACATAATAGGTAAAAATGTCAAAAATTGGGATACAGCAGTCAAAATTGTGTTATAATCTTAATCACTATAAAAACAAACAAATATGCCAACAAAGAAAAACGAAAAGGCATATAGACAAAGCACATTTGATTCAAGGTTGAAGCCAAACCTACCTTTTGTAAATATGGTTCCTGTAGTTGTTTATATTTTTGGTCATCTATGTTCAATTTGCATATATTAGGTTGGAAAGAGCAAGATCATACTATTTTCTAGAAATTCAAATCATTATTTTACCGTTTTGTCTTTTTCCATTATGGAAACATCTATGTCATAAGATTCCATTGGTGTGACAATTTCTCCACCTGACAATTCTATTCTACACAATGCTATGTATCCATCAGTGTCGACAGCAGCAAGAATGACTGAGGGTGTACAGCAACTTCCTCTTTATTAAAAAATTAATACAATATGACACACAATAGCTATCAATCATTGCTGAACAACGACATTTGGGTTTCTTGCGGTGGAATATATACATGTATCTTACATTTTAATATTTAAATACGATTAGAGGTTTTATTTGCTATAATGCTCCCTATTAATATCTTTTAACTTCATTGTTACCTGTGAATTGAATTTCATTTAAACTTATTTTAAAATTCGGCGATTATTGATCTTATTCATTTTTATTTGTGGCTGTCTTGAGGTATATAATTCTTTAAGTTATAGGAAAGTGTATATTTATTTATTTTTTATGGTGTGCAAATAGTAAAATAAAAAATATTCTGAACTCCGAGGAAAATTCAAAACGGAAAATTCCTTATCAAATGCCAAAATCAAAAGCTCAAACACACCAAACGAATGGAAAACAACTGTCATATTTCTGACTTGGTACAGACAATAATCTTATGTAGAAATGGATTATGGACAGTCGCATAAAATTCTATTGACAACAAAGTGTGAACAAAACAAATAGACATAATAGGTAAAAACTTCCAAAGTTGGAATATAAATATTCCGTGTTTACCCTTTTATTTAAAATTTATTTTTATTTTGCTTACTTGACTACAGAGCTAAAACAATTTAAGAAATCCTATTTTTCTGTTAGAGGTTTTTTAAAGTACATGTTATCATGTTTAAATGTTCCCGCGGTGTGACATGACATATATTTTCAGCAATCTATTCTCATAACGTTCATTTGCATGACAGTTCGTATTGAGTCCCATATAGAAATTCAAAATTCAGTCTTAGGCGGTAAAGGGTAGCTGCATTTTGATAGTGAAGACTCTGAACGTTACTGAGGTAAACGAAGCGGATAAGACCATCTTTTGACTGAAATACTAAACATGAAGGAATGACTGAGTAATGTTTAGTTATACTAAATCGATTAAGATTGAAATGGCCTTTCCAGGTACAAATCTCTTACCTGTGCTGCTCTCATACATTGTTTCCATAACGTTAATAGTTATTTGAATTTTTTCAGGATATATGCACTAAATTAGGCTGATGAAGGTTGTTCTTTTAAGGCCTCATTTTATTTAAATGAAAATTAAAATGTCTTATTCCTAAAAGCAAAATCATCTCAGAATTTGTAAAATATAGTAAAATGTTTCCAATCATAGTAACGCCTGCCATACGTCTCCTCTATATAAGACACATCATTACTATGATTACACTACAACCAATACTATTTGGACTAAATTATGCATTATGCGAATATAATTTTCTTCCACACTAATAAGCATAATATCTAACGCTTACAATAAACCCAAACGTTTAATTCGGCAACAGGTTTGAAGTAAAAAGTAAAATAACAAAAATACCGAACTCCGAGGAAAGTTCTAAACGGAAAGTCCCTAGCAAATGGCAAATTTAAAAGCTCAAACACATCAAACGAATGGATAACAACTGTCATATTCTTGACTTGGCACAGGCATTTTCTAATGTTGAAAATGGTGGATTCAACCTGGTTTTATAGCTAGCTAAACCTCTCACTTGTATGACAGTCGCATAAAATTCCATTATATTGACAACGATGTGTGAACAAAACAAACAGACATAATAGGTAAAAATGTCAAAAATAGGGGTACAGCAGTCAACCTTGTGTTATAATCTAAATCACTATAAAAACAAAGTAATGTAAAATCTGGTTTTTGGTGACTTTAACAATAAAGACAAACACTTAAGGCATTCCCTGCTTAGGTATTTAATGTGTATATCATTTAACGTGTGTGAGTCATTTCTCTTTAAAAAAAACATACCTGATACTGATATTCAAAGGACCATGTCTCAGACCTGAAATATCTTCATATAACAATTCGGTTGCTGATCCAACAGATGAAGTAACGTTTCCTAACTCAGTTCCTTCGAATGTAATATCTGCATCTACGAACCAGTGATATTTATGGCATTGTGCTGTATTCAACGAAGAACGACTACAAGTTCCATTCAATGATACAATTGTGCACACTGGTCTTACAATGTCAGTCATCTTCAAAGATAAAATGTGCGTCAAATAAAGTTATCACGTCAAAGCATGCTAAGAAATAGTTAATTGTTTGTTCCCATTCTAACCGTGAAATAGGAAAACATGACTGAAAAAAATAGAATACCTCTTATGGTTCGTATACACGTACTATACAGGAGAAAGTGTATAAAAATAAGGTCTTTCCGCGTTTCCGTGGAAAGACATTCTGAGTTCTGATTATTATATTTTTTACGACACTTTTGTTTCTGATATGTCGCTTTTGTTTCGCAATATATTGGTAAGATATTCCGTGTATGATATCAAATAGTTTTTTTTGCGTTTCGAAACTCACCCTTTTTGACGAAAAAAAAAACATGTTGGAATTATCTTCCTGTAAACTGTTTTTATATAGCTTCTCAGAAAGCGTGAAAGTCATCGTTTTAATTTATCTGCAAAATGTTCGTCCTTTTCACAGGATGATCTGTTACATTTGGACAGAGTGGACCGGTTAGATAAAATTGAGATTGGAAACAGGGAATGTGTCAAAGAGACAACAACCCGACCAAAGAGCAGAAAACAGCCAAAGGCCACCACTGGGTCTTCAATAAAGCGAGAAAATCCCGCACCCGGAGGCGTGCTTCAGCTGGCCCCTAAACAAAAATATGTACTAGTTCTGTGATAATGGACGTCATTCTAAACTCCGAAATATATAAAAGAAACTAAAATTAAAAATCATACAAGACTAACAAAGGCCAGAGGCTACTGACTTGGGACAGGCGCAAAAATGCGGCGGAGTTAAACATGTTTTTTGAGATCTCAACCCTCCCCCTATACCTCTAGCCAATGTAGAAAAAACAAACACACAGCAATACGCACAGTAAAACTCAGTTTAAAAGAAGTCCGAGTTCGATGTAAGAATAGGTAACAAAAGAAACTAAACAAAATGACAATGATACATAAATTTACAAAGGACTACTAGCAGTTACTGACATGCCAGCTCCAGACCTCAATTAAACTGATTAAAAGATTATGTCTTCATTAAATGAATATCAAGCACAATCCCTTCCGTTAGGGGCTTAGTATTATTCCATCATAAAATATATGAGAAGAACATAACCCGTATCATGCCAACAACTGGTTTTAGAATAAATGTGTTTATTTCCGATGCAAAGACCCTATAAGGGAATCAATATTAAAGCCAAAATATGCCATCTCTAATGACCTGACAACAGTATTGTAACTATATCCCTTCCTAATAAGTCTCTTTTAAGGTTTTGTTAGCCTTTGAGGTGAATGCCGACATTTTTGTGCTTTGTAAAGAATATTACCATAAAAGATTGGATGTGAAATACCTGAACGTATAAGATGTCTGCATGTTGATTTATATCTACGAATGATTTCCTTGTACCGATGATAAAATTTAGTAAATGTTTTGACTAGTTTGTGATATCGAAAACCCTGGTGTAATTATTTTTCAGTAATACATAGATTTCTTTCGTTAAAATCTAATACGTTGTTACATGCACGAGCGAATCGTACACTTTGAGATATATAAATACCATAAGATGGCGACAAGGGAACGTCACCATCTAAAAATGGATAATTAACAATGGGAAATGAAAAATCATCTCTTTGATCATAAACTTTGGTATTAAGCTTCCCGTTAATGATATAGATATCAAGATCCAGGAAAGGGCAGTGTTCATTGTTAGTATTAGCTTTATTTAAAGTTAGTTCAACAGGATAAATCTCTTTATGTATATATTATTGATATTAGTTCTTTTGATCTACCTCCCCCAGCAATGGCACGGACCCAGTGGTTGTAAATAAACTCATCACAGATACCAGGATTATAATTTAGTACGCAAGACAAGCATTTCGTCTACAAAAGACTCGTAAGAGAAATTTGTCAACGGCGAATTTCAGGAACGTATGCTTAAACCTCATACACTGCGATTTTATACTTACGAGAACAGTTTTCAAAATGCTTTGGGTTATTTCTGATGTCTTACCCAGGTACACTGTTATGCTAAATTTCCTACAATTATTGATAAATTAATTGGTAACTCCTTTATTTATATATTTCATATGTATTTCATTCATCCATAAATATTTTGTTGATTATATCTTCCTAATGAACGCATTATTATTGTAATAGAAAGATACCTTGAAGCAAATGTACATCTTTATTGATATTCATGAATACATGAGTTAAAGGAGGAGAGAATGTTCGTGGTATATAGGTATTCACATTTTATCTGAAATAAGAATTAAGGTTTAAATATAATTGAAATTAAATTCCTTCTCAATTCTTTGATTTTCAAACTTAATATTAAAAATATAAATGCCCGGTTCAAATTCAAATTTGAAAAAAATCTTGTTATCTTTAGGATGGAAATGTTTTTGTTGTTTATCCAAAACAAATTCATCTTGAAATTGTAAGAGGGGAGTAAGTAAGGCATGTACCATGTATATGATGTTTGGCTAAACATTATTAACAACATTGCAAAATGAACTTGTCCGTTGATAAATTAAATAATTAACAAGAAGCGAAGGTTAAAATCTCTCAGGCAAAATTAACCTTAGATAAATTTGGTTATTGTATTTAGGCCCGTTTTGGTCAAGTAGCTCCTTAACAAATTACGTATCTATAATCTTGAGCGTTAAAATGTTTTGGTCTGAGCGATCCTGATGAAAGAATCACCAGAAAAGCTGTTCGGGCGAACGAAATTTATAAAGTGTTGTTTTCATTGAACTACCTCACATTTTATATAAAAAACAAAACTCATTGTAATCAGCCTTTCGGCAACATGTTCATAAGTATCATGTGTGTTTACATTTTGCAATATGCAAGATGTCTAGTTTGAAATTGTAGGAAATAGTAGAGCGCACTACAATGAAAATTTAGCAAAAAATATTGAAATACAAATAGTTTTTTTGTAATAATTAAAAAAAATCGTATTGCTGTCAATATACATACTGTGAAGTCTTAATGTGGCATAAAAACTGCACTGCTCTGCAGTCTGATACATATTGAACAGTTACTGTCCAGTCTAGGTTTGTCATTTTTTCATTTTTTCTTCTATGGTTTAATGTGCATTTTTTTATTCCGAGATTGCATCCTAAATGATTGATTGATTGCTTGTTTGTTGTTGTATGCCACGGAGAAGCCGTATTGCCCAGAGAGAACCACGGACCTTCTCTAAACTGACTATCCTAGTCAATCAAGATTGAAATTGAACGCACCTGCCACGTGCGGGATTCGAACTCACAACCTCAGTGTTGACATGCTAGTGATTCATAGTTGAATTACTCAGACCCGTGTCCCACGAGGCCCTAGCCTAAATAATAAATCTAATTCGATGTAATGAGAAAACAAAAACATAAGTTTAAGAATAAAAGAATCTAGTATAGTATCAAAACACTCCTATCAGTCACAAGGAGTATTCTCCTCACCATATTAGCTTTGAATAATATTCTATACTATTGTACACAAAAACACATACACACTAAAACATCGTATGAAACAGTTTAGAACTTACCACCTTCACGTAAATACATCATTTAACTACATGCTAGATAATATTTTGTCAACTTTTGTGTAAAAGAAGCTTTCCAAATGAATTTTTAAAAAGAATTTTTAAAGGCTAATAATGAAACAATAACTCTTCATAAACCAATATAAAAAATAGTATATAAACCAGGAGTAAACTTACAAGATAACAGATGATGAGGTAGGCTTCAAGGTAAATGATCCATTACTTATATCACCCGCGAAAACTGTATGCTGTCTTCTTTTTGGTAATACTGCAGCAGTATAGTCGTTTGTAATCGCAACTACATATGTTTCATTAATTGTTCCTGTATTTTCCACTTCATAATATACAAACATGTCTTTTCCGATAACTGCGCCTGTAGATATATGAATAAAATAACAACAAACACAACATAGAATACTTAATAAAGACTGAACAACACGAACCGAACTAAAAAACGGGGGGAGGGGGTGATTACAGGTGCTTCGGAAGGGTAAGCAGATCCTGCTTCACCTGTGGCAGCCGGCATGTTGCTATGTAAGTACGAACATAACCAAACCATGAACCTGTAATCCAGTGGTTTTCATTAGTTTCTGTAATTACTTTCGTGTTTGTGTTAGCATAATGACTTTTGTACTATACCAGTTTAACTGCAACAAATGCGCATTTCAACAATAAATGTCTCTTCAGTGATGCTCGAGGCCTGAATATTTGAAAATACAAAATTAAATAGAAAATGAAGAGCTAACAAAACAAAAAAAGAAAAAAACTAGTACCAAAGCCGGATATGAAATCAGAGCTTTGCATTAGGGAGATATATTCCTTGATTTAAAATAATTCCCATAATTTTGTAACAGCAAAGTTCAATATCACAAAATTCGTATGTTAATGTCAGTATCGAAGTCCTGGCTACAAGGCTTGTGATACTTCTTGGTACTTACAGTCCACCAGCAGTAGTATTGCCACTATAGTCGTAATAATATTAACGGTACCAAGTAATCGTATTGATGCCTTCTACTACAGTAATACAGTGTACTGAAGCTCTTTGTCTTCATTTGGTATATTTTATTAACAAATGCAACATTGAACGGATTAACTAAACAATTACATCCAAGCTTTGACACGTGTGTAAAAGATTTCTTGTATTCTTTGCCAAACTCAATAAGAGACTAAAAATTTGACCGTAGGGATTCTTTACTGATGTCAAGTTTTGTTATTTGTTTCTATGACCTCTGTACTGAGGTCAAAAAGTGAGAACCTTGCTAATTCCTTTACCAGTCAGTACTAAAACAAATACAATCACACACACATTTTTTTTCAGGTGTTGACGCTGTTGACATCGATTGTACAGAAGGGTCTCTAGAAATGTTATTTTCGAAATGTTTGATAATCAGAAATAATCACAGTGTTTTTTAAAGGAATCCAGGATTTTTCAATCAACGTTCCCTCTTCTGCAGTTATATCAGAATCTTAGAAAGAAAAAGTGAATGTACGTGAATTCCTTCTAAAATGAATGGAACAAAAACTCTATGATCAATCTAAGAAGAATCATACTAAATAAAACTAAGTCTGGAAGGTGTAGTTGCTAGGACGTTTTTTAAAATAATATACACTAGTTTGTAAACATATTAAAGCATACAGACTTTGTCAGTTTACATCATTTGTCCGCTTTACTTTTAAAATCATTTCTTCTATATATCTATAAAAACAAGCGTATTACTTACTTTCAGGAGAAACTATTGTAAACTTGACGTTGGTTGGTTTAAATACTACGGAATTTTTTCTGGAAAATAGCAATCCATTAGTGTCTGTCCCGTTTAACTTCAACTGGAAAAACTACAACGACAACGAAAACTAAATACTAACACACGCATTTACTGAATGCACACGTGAATATGAAATAAGCTACAAAAAAAGGAGAAATGTTCTATGTCTGCTTAGGCAAAATGATTTGCGTCTTAACAGTCTTAAATTGTGACAATATACTACAATTGACATTTTGTCCGGTGAATAAAACATAAGATTTGATCGTATCTAACGATACATGCAAAGATCGATTTTATTTAAAAGATAATTTTCTCATGTCATGCTCTATGAAAATTTTAACATGTGTAGGAATTATATTTGTTAATATCTTTACACCGAGCGTCAGCAAGTTATTGCCTGTTTCCAAATGTTATGCCTATTTATGTCAAAATGAGCATAGAACATGACTTGGCAGAAATATTTCAATTTTGATAGAAACACCTAAGTTTAATCAAATCAATCATTTCACATCGTAGATTTTGAATGCGCCACTGAATGCATGACCAGACAGCTTTAATTCATTCAGATTAAATGTCCAGTTTTGGTTCATCTGGCTCTCGCTTTACCCATTAACTGCCATAGTTCTTTACTGCATCCATCAGTAGATTTGCTTTAGGTTTTTGTCAGAAACATTCATCTTTTTACATTCTATATTGAAAAAAAATGCAATCTTTAAATTCACTTCGTAAGGGATGATTAATTGCATATTAGCGGTAAAAAACATTCCGGTAACCCTGTACATATAGCGTGAATTGTTCATGCTTGCTGCAAGTCTGTGATCGGTACTGCTTGAAAGGTTTAAAATCAGTAGATATGTATGATTGTCAAGAGACGAGACAACTATCAACCAATGTCCAAATGCATGGATTTAAGCATCAAAAGGTCGAACAATGAACAAAAACCTACTGTTCAATCGGCTATAAAAGGCGCCGAGATAACAAAATGTGAAACTATTCAAACCAAAACACCGGCAGCCTGTGATCGGTACTGCTTGAAATGTATAACATCAGTAGATATGATATGATTGTCAAATGACAACTATCCATCAGTGTCCAAAGGAATTGGATTTAATCATCAAAATTTCGTACAATGAACAAAATCCTGCTGTGTAATCGGCTATAAAAGGCACCCGAGATAACAAAATGTGAAACCATTCAAACCAAAAAAACCAACGGCCTGATTTACAACAAAACAATAAACGAAAAACAAATATGGCAGACAGCAACTCACTTTGAAAGTTTATTGCAATCTACACATGACTAAATTAATTTATTTTTTAGCCATTTTAAAATCAGTTCATAACAAAATTACAACTATCTATTTTTTTGTATATACCTGGTTTGGAGTAGTTAATATGGCGGCACATCTTACTGTCATAACATTTGTTGTCTGAATAGTATGAACATTAAACAATTCATTGCCTAACATATCAGTTAGGGTAATGTCATTACAAGTACCGTTTTCTCCAAGGTTATAAATGTTAACATAAAATATGTAGTTCTTTCCTACAAATTAAAGAAAAAATGTTTAGCAAATAAAAAAAAAAATTCTGATAATATGTCTTTACATTATGGAAACAATAATATTATTACCATTTTCCAAGCTTAATTGCTTTGAATTTTTTAATAACGATTTACGTATTATATAGATATTTACGAATTGTATTACTATCTTCCTAGTTTTAACATTCTGCATATGTTTTGATATTCACCAATGAATAACAGTAAATAGAAGATGTATACGTCAATGAAGAAATGGTTATAAAGAATGTATGCTTACAGTTATATAACAGAAAAAACAATTATAAAAGACCTCTTTGTCCATTATAACAAACATACAATGTATATTTAATATTGAATAAATCTACCTGCAATAGGACTTCCTTTAAGGGTAGGTAAGGCACCAGTTTCGGTGTATTCAAGTATTTCTGTTTCTTGTTTAACTGGACTTTGTGCTGTTATATTTACTGACCCTGACCAGTTACTAGATAAATGTCTCTGTAGACTATATCCGCCGGGGGGTGGTCGCTGAAAATAACTTCATTTAACAGATACCATATGTTCATTTGAACTTCATATGATATGCATAACATGATAAAACTCAAATTATCTCTACCATTATACGAACACTCTATTTTCGTCAACAACTTTCACCCCTTCATACACCCTTCAATAATTATAATCGTTTTAAGCAATGTAAAAGTTATTTTTTTCAGTTGTTAAATATTATTACCAACCAGTTATCTTTGTGTTGTATACAACGAAGAATATGTTTACCCGTCCGGTTCACCTGATACCCCGCCTAGAGGTTTTGACTAATTTCTATTTTTAGTGCTGTATTTGTAGTTCAGTATTATAATCTCCGTGTTAACATGTCACATGTAACTTTGCAGTCATATTAAAACTTTATCTTATCAAATGTCTTTCCAAATTAAGTGACAATTACCTTGTAAGTAAGATTAATGAGGGTTACCTAAAACATTATTAAAAAAAATAATGGGGCAACTGTAAATTGCACAAGACGAACAATACAAAAAAATCAGGGGATTAACTCGAGTGTTGTGTTACACATACACAAAATACAACACAGATTACTAAATTGAAAATGTGTAGATCATTTTCAAGATTGGTCGATACTGTTGTATTTACTACGTGTTTGGCAATGAAAAAATGTTAGATATTGGTTTAGAAGTAAAGTCTTCAGCTTTATGAACTTAACATGTCAGCGTATGTGTACAAAGTTTGTATACCAGGAAAATTCAAATGTCTTTAACCTCTTTTTACGAACAAAACAAATGCTTCTTTTTGTACTTTCAAAAGTCCTTATAAGAATTGTAACAGTATATGACAAACAAAATAATATTCTTTCCTTTAACACTTGAAGTTATGTTGGCTCCTTTTTATGAAGCGTCCATGTGTCAGATTGTTCAATGGAACTGTTTTATAAGCGTTTAAGATTTTAATGGACAAAAGAAAAAATTTGAGTATAGCAAAATAGACACAGATAACTAATATCACACAATTGGCTACATTTTATCATCACAAAGATTTATTTTCATACTATTATTTTTCTGCAGGAATTGAATTAAAATTGATATTTCCCCCCTGACTGTTTATGGTTATTTAGTTATAAAGCAAACAAATATTCATACAATCTTAAAATCTCCACTTTTGTCTAAATACAGTTAAAGTTTATAAATATAGTCATAATGTGTAATAGTTTTTCTTTCAGTATTAAAATACTGTTCAAAATTGTTCTTAAAAAAAATTATGTTGCAATGTGTAGCAGTATGATAAAATTGAGAATGGAAATTGGGAATATGTCAAAGAGACAACAACCCGACCAAAGAGCATACAACAGACGAAAGCCACCAATGGGTCTTCAATGCAGTGAGAAAATCCCGCATCCGGAGGTGGTCCTCAGCTGGCCCCTAAATATAATTGTGTACTAGTTCAGAGAAAATGGACGTCACACTAAACTCCAAAACATATAAATGAACTAAAATTAAAAATCATACAAGACTAACAAAGGCCAGAGGCTCCTGACTTGAGATCTGCGCACAAAATGCGGCAAAAAAAGGCGCAAAAAAGTGTATACACTAATAAGTATGAAGTATGAATCTGTTTGGATATGCTTGCTGATATTGGATAGTAGAAATGCATCTACCTATAGGAAATATGTATTTGTAACAGACCTTCGACCGCCACTTAAATGTTTAAACATGTCTTCTATCGGGAACAATGCAATTATATAAAAAAAAGGTAGTCGTATGCTGCAATTGTGGTTATTATGGGGGACGGGGAGTGTCTTGAAGTTATCGGCCCAATAAGGAATATCACATACTTTGTTTACTCACACTTTAATCAATTGCTTGTCTTACAATCAATAGAAATTTCTTTGGGAAGTTATTGAGTGAATTGTAATATATTAAAAAGAGACGGAAGATACCAGTCTACAGAACACTATATAGAAAGCTGAAATTAGTAGTAAAGACTGACCAATAAGCTCTGCATTATGCATCATACTTCATTGAACTGTGGGGTTCAAGTCCTCCCATTTTTTTTTGCAAATATATGTTGATTTGCTTGTGATATTTGAATTTACATAAGAAAACTACCTTACCAGTTCAACTGTGTGTACGTGTACTGTATCACTGAGTGTTTAACTTTTTTTCAAGATATGTAATTACATACTTATGCTTATTATCTACATTAAACATGAACATTAATATCCACAATCGAAAAGATATATCAATATTAATGAAAGATTGGAGATTTTCAACTAAACGACCAAATTTTTACAAAGTCATATTAATAGACAGTAGCGTCTTTATCTAGTTATTAGTTCAGTATATTCATTAGGCCATAGCAGTTATATATCGCTATCATAGAATCTACAATTACGTGCTTAGGTGGAATGTTATGGGCAGCCATTCGGGCAAAAATAATAAAAATATTTCAAAACAGACTTTAAAGTAAAAAAAAAGACATCAAAAACGAAAACAGACATTAAATTAAAAACAGAGGTCAAAAACGAAAACAGACATCGAGAACAAAAACAGACATCAAATTAAAAACAAACATCAAAAACGAAAACAGACATAACATTTAAAAACAGACGTTAAAATATTAAAAACAGAGGTCAAAATTGAAAACAGATATAAAATTAAAAAACAGACGTTAAAATCATATTTGCTCATTTGAAAAGAACTGAGGCAATCGTTCTAGAAAAGAACTTAACCAAACCACGATCAACTTAACCAAACTATGACAATATCACTGTACTAAACGCTCCTCGATATGACGACCTTGCCACCCGTGTATACATGCAAAGCAGATATAAAATTAAAAAAACAGACGTTAAAAAATAAAAAAAAAGAAGTCAAAAGCAAAAACAGACATACAATTAAAAAACAGACGTTAAAATCAAAAACAGACATAAAATTAAAAATCAGACAAATGATGTAAAAAATAAAATAGAATCTTTTTGGAGACGGAAAATAATGATTATTGCAGAAGGATAACTTATTCTTTGTTTTTTACATCCAATGTCAATGAAATCTGGCACTGTTCATAATATATGGGCCAATACAGGACTTGGTTCTACTTCTATTATCAAAGCTAATGTTAAAGCTTGATTACTGGCAGGAGTGTATATACTAATAAGTATGAAGTATGTGCGATATATTCGTTGTGTATGGCTGACATTGAAGATACTGAACATTTCCCGCTACAGTGCAGCAGTACAGATACTGTGAGGAGACCGTTTATTACAAAGCTGAGAACTCTGCTATGTGACATTGTTCATGCAAAAGAAAATCTAGTCATTTCGAACAATTCAGTGCTATTTAAAATTGTGATTTTGGATGTGTCAAGTCCACAAATTCCAATATTAATACAGACTAACTTGTTGATACAGGCCATCTCAAGTGGAATGGTATATGCCTTACAGCATAGAAAATGTGCCATACTGGGTTAAGCTAGCAGCTAGGGTGGCAATGTCATTTAAAACTGTTTAATATAATACCGGTATAATATATATTAAAGGTAAATTTATTAAATTAAGACTTAATTTAACAGTTAAGACTTTATTCAATAGTCAGTTGCGATGGACATAAATATGATACAGTACACTACAAAATATAATATATAACCAGTCTAAAAGGGTACAACATCACCAAAAAATGACAATAAACGAACAAATGTAACTATAAATATTTCGGAAAACAGAAATCCTTCATCAGTATGAGCACGATGTAAAATGAATCAGATCAATCTATTCTGATTAATAAACTATAGCAATCTTGAATTCTATACAATAAAAAAAGTGATGTCAGGAAAATGAGTGATGGTAGGGAAAATGAGTGACTCATTCTATGTTTTTTTCATTTATGCCCTCTAGGGAAACTGTCCTTAGCTTTCTTATCCAAAACCTTTCACGAGCAAGTCTTTCGGCCCTTGACCAACCCTCGTTGTGGTCTATGATTGTGATTGTAAGGTTTTTGAGATCAGCTTGGGCGTGCCCAGGTGATCTCAAATGACGACTTACGGGGAGGTCGGGCTTACAGGTGTAGTCACTTCGATGACCATTCATGCGTTTGTTGAATGGTTGTTCTGTCTCGCCAATACACTGCATGCCACATCGACACTGAAGAAGGTATACAACATTCTGTGTTTTGCAAGTTACATTACAAAATATAGTGTACAGACCCAGTGGAGTGGCAAGTAAATGTTTGAGTATTCATTATTTGTTGGCAAGTCAGACATCGTCTGTTACCACACGACTTGCACCATCCTGCAGTTGAACAGCTTTTATTAGAGGAGACGTCAGTTCTCACAAATAAGTCTTTCAGACTTGCTGGTCTCCGAAAAGCTAAGACAGGAGAATTGGGAAAGATCTTGGATAAGTACCTTGCTGGGAAAGAATCCCTAGCTTATGATTAAATGTGACAATCTGCCATTGCGATTTTAACTTGGTGGTGGGTACACCGGGCAGTGTTGATAACCTTTATACCAGTATCTGGACCAAATTGATTTATAGGCGCAATTAAACTGGTTTCTGCACAGGAAATTGTTTCATGCACGTGCACACAGATGCTTACTGTAAAGCTGCGTACTCTTTCACACTACAAAAGTAGTGGTACTTTAGATAGTGGAGGGAAGAATAAAGAAGAAGAATTGGCGACACCTGTTAGTTCTTGTATTTTGTCTGTTGTGGGTTTTGACCTCTGTTTTTAATTTTTAACGTCTGTTCTTTAATTTTAAGCCTGTTTTCGTATAAGACCTGTTTTGTATGATTGTTTTATAATAATTGTATGTCTGTTTTTGTTTTTTGACCTCCGTTTTTTAATTTTTCAACGTCAGTTTTTTTTGTTTTTTTTTTATGTCTGTTTTCGTTTTTGATGTCTGTTTTCTTTTTTAAATCCTGTCTTTTTAATTTAATGCTTATTTTCGTTGTTGCCCTCTGTTTTTAATTTTATTTCTATTTGGGTTTTTGATGTCTGTATTTTTTTTTTTTATTTTAACGTCTGTTTTTCAACTTTGTTTAATTTTGCCCGAATGGCTGCCCATAGAATTTGCTTCCGTGTTTATTTAACAATGTCAAAATTTATGGAAGTACCTATTAGACATGTTAGATACCTATTAGCACAGTCTTTTTTATCAAACATTTAGATAACAAAAATGACATTACTCTTATAATATTAGAACAAGCTGTCGGCAATCAGGGTCATCGTTATCATCGTCATCATTGGTTGTAGCTGCAGAGAGTTTTATGAATATTTTGAATTTAAAAAATGAAAATGAGAAAGTACATACTTGCAGAGAAATTATTACTTCGTTCCTATTAGTAACCAGCTTTTGTGAAAATTTACTTGCAAATGTGTCTCTTGTTCCTGTAAAAGTAAAAAATATTTAAGATCATAATTAGGAATATTTACTAATTCTGAAAGATGGTGTAAATATTAATGAGACTGCAACTCAACAACACAATTTGACCAAACAAAAAGGACTGCTATGTTTGTTTTGTTTTGTAATTTACTTTTTGTTTGCTATCATATCAGTACCAGTACCGCGGCTAATTTGGATATAAAATATACTACATTTTCATAGGGTCATCTGAATATTTGACTAAACATAACATTGGAGTTATTTATTCAACATTCAAGTGTACAAAGTCAATCCTTATTTCATATCAATCAGTTAGATAAAAAGGTAGGGCAAATTTCTCCTCCATACGTTTCAATCATTGAGTTAAATCTTAATAGCAGTCAAATCCTACTGGAGATTGAATATCAAACATGTTGAAGACTTAAATTTAGGAATCAGTAGTTTACCGATATTCAAATCTCTTTAAGAGGATACCAAACACATGTTGAGAGCATCGCATGAACTCAAAAAGGAGAGATGTCTGTCGACAGGGTAAGCGTCTCCTGCCATGCATACATGTTCCGCCATGCGAATCTACTTTCAGTCAATCACAATTTGGATAAGGACGACAAATCTGGTATCTTAATATCCAAGCCAAAGAAAATAGGTCGCTAGTGTGTTGAGAACATAAACATCGTATCAGTCATTCATTTCTTGATGGTAACCGAAAAACTTATGTAGTGTCGATTTTTCCTACAAAATCTGGTAAAGAAGTGTGAGGACCGCACCTTTGTTATTTTATCCAATTTAATGTGAACATGCACGAGCGTGGCGTTCTTATTGCGATATGTAAACGTCATACGTCCATTTGTGTCATTATCGAGGAAAAGATAAAGATATGAAGGAGACCTTCTACTTGAGGTACTATCTTTAACCTCAAGTTCATTGGGATATATGAGATGCAAGCACTCGCTGACATGTGATCTATTGAGTTACAGTACATCATCAATACATCTGAAAACGAAATTAAAGAACTTTGCAAGATGCATTTTCTTTTTGTCTTTGGGAAGAACCTGTATGAAGTCTGCTTCAAATGAGTACAATATCAAGTCGGCCAATAGGTGTGCACAGTTAGTACTCATTAGATTACTGACTGTTTGTTGAAATATCAATCCATCAAACTCAACAAATTTATTTTCGAAAAAAAAGTCCTATTTCCAAAAAAAACAATTTAGAATCAAATTTGGTCGTAAGTGATTGATCTGGCTTCTATTAAACGGTTTATATATATATAAACATCAAATTTAGGGGCAAAAGTTTTTATATTATTTATTTTTGTTTTCTATTTTACAATCTGGAAAGCTTGAAACAATATAAGTAAACTGAGGTTGCCCATTCGGTTAATTTCCAGCTTTGCTATTGTTTAATTTTCGGAGTAAATAAAAGTGAAAGCATGCATATATAGTTAAGTCCGATAATTTTGTTCGACCGGCCTTTTTTTGAGCTATTAAATGTACACACAATAACATTTTTAACCTTTTTCTGAACCTAAAAAATATCAAATACTTTTTCACCGTATTGAGTAACAAATAAACAGTTAATTTGTGTTACATAAAAACCTTTAAAAAAATCATCGACTTACCGTTTCTTATCACCGAAATATGTGATACGTACCAAACTCAAAGATAACATTTCTACATTTTACATACTAGTAATTGCTATAAGCTGTTCACATAAGTGTTATTATTTGACAATGTACTCTTTTCCTCGATTGTGACTGAACAAGACTTATCATCATAGATATAAGAATATTTGGTATGAGTGCCAATGAGACAACTCTTCATACTTACCATGAGAAATATGACGGTTGCCACTTGTTGATTAATATCTGTTTACCCTTCCGGAGCACCTGATCGTGTTACTCAGTCTTTAGTTATCTATGTAGTGTTTTGTGAACTTGTTTGTCTTTTTGTCGTCTTAAGTTTTTTTGCCATGACGTTATCAGTTTCTCTTCGCCTTATGAGTTTTAAATATCTCCTTGGTACCTTCCGCCTCTTTTATACTGGTTTCTTAAAAAAAAAACTCTTAATGGTTTTAGTACAGATGTCTTCATAACTTCAATATATTGATGGTACCACCTATAAAGTAATTCCATGACATCCTAGATCAACATTTGTACAAAATAAATTTCGTAGATACTTTCATTATTCAATCTTATAAATTACCATTTGGGTAAAACAATTCTACTCCGCTGTCTGCACCTGGACAGCACACAGCAACCTTGAGGACTGTTATTGAACTATCAACAACAAACATGATCTTGTTACTTGATGTCCGTGACCAGGTTAATGAATCCACTATAACTCCACCTACAGGGAATGTTTTCTGGTAGAGAGAAGATTTCTTTGCCATGTTATACTCAAACATATCGAGATTATTTAAGTAAAGAGATCACATTGAAGAGTATCATTTGTTGTTATTAATTACGAATGAAGAATAAATTCAACATGAAAGGTGATAGTGGTTGACATCAGTTGAAAATATAAAATTCACAAAATTAAAATGAATAACATCTCCAAGATATTTCAACACAGAATTACAAGACAACGAAAATATTGTACCTTAAAGATTTGACGATGAATGTGTGTACTTTATTAGTGATAAATTTTAAACGAAGAAAACACACGGTTGATAAACTCAATTGAAGTATCTAGAAAATCAACAAAAACCGTTTCAATCACTTGTGAAATATAGATCACCACAACATGAATGGTAAAATTTGATAGCTAGGCCAAATATTTCATAATATAAAGTAAAATACACAAACGATACCCCCAAAATATCGTCAAATTTAATATATTATGTTCAAACTTCTGACTTATTTTAAATTTTACCTCAAAAATATTATTCAAGACAACACTTATTTCTTCTTTCGTTGTACGATAAACCTTTCCCCCTGTTGCCTGAGCTAGATGCTGAAAGAATGACGCCGTATCTTTTCGCTTTATATCTGTCAATAACAAAGAAGATCATTAATTGTTGAGTAATATATAATAACATAGCGCATGTCACCCTGGTCCGCCAATTGCCACTAAACGGCAGCCATTTTGAATTGTTTTAACATTGAATGCACAAATATGCATCGCAATACATCTTTCTATGGTTTTTTTCAAATTTTCAGAAAGTTGAAAGCATTTTGAAAATTTTCTCATTTGTACTGTTTTCATGTCAACGGCGGCCATTTTGAAAATTCCAAAGATGGATAGCATATCTTCACATGCCAAGGAACATTTTCACAAAGTTGAAATCAATTTGGAAGACGTTCCGATTTTCCACATTTTCTGTTTCCATGGCAACTGCGGCCATCTTGGAAATGCACATCTGCACATGGGGGTTAACATTATTGATAAGTTCCATTATATTTGGTCCATACATTTCCGAGAAATAGTCTGGACAAAAAAGTGTGGAATAATAATAAACTTGATTTGTAATTGTGAGCAATAACGGATGGCACCCTCCCACCCCCACCCCCCATTGCCAGGGTAACGGCAGCCATTTTGAAAATTCCAAAGTTGTTAAGCGCATGTACACATGCCAATTAACATTGTTGTAAAGTTTCCTTAAGTTTGGAGCATTTTGAAATTTTGGACATTTTTGCTGTTTCCATGGTAACGGTGGCCATCTTGAAAATGCCAAAGTCAAGACCGCATTTACACATGCCAATTAACATTGTTGTAAAGATTCATTAAGTTTGGAGCATTTTGAAATTTTTGACATTTTTGCTGTTTCCATGGTAACGGCGGCCATCTTGAAAATGCCATACCCCGATTGCAAATCTGCACATGCTGGTTAACATTATGGTATAGTTCCATGACCATTGGTTCATAAAATTCCGAGATATAAGCTGGACGAAAAAAGTGGAAGAAAAAAAATAATAACTAGATTTGTAATTGCTAGCAATAACGGATGGCACCCTTCCCCCATTGCCAGGGTAACGGCAGCCATTTTGAAAATTCCAAAGTCGTAAAGCGCAAGTACACATGCCAATTAACATTTTTGTAAAGTTTCTTGAAGTTTGGAGCATTTTAATTTTTTGAAAATTTTGATGTTTCCATGGGTACGGTGGCCATTTCCAAAATTCCAAAGACAGATGCCAAATTGGTACATGCCATGTCACATATATATAAAGTTTCATTGGGATTGATGTTACATTCTTCAAGAAAAAGCAGCTTTTATGTATTTTCCCATAGGGTCAATGTTAAACTTTCGCCCTGTTTCTATGACAATGGCGGCCATTTTGGAATTTCTAAATACTGTCTGCATATCTAGGCATGCTAAGTAACATTTCCATAAAGTTTCATCTAGTTAAGTCTTATAATGAAAGATTTAGAATTTGCATTTTTTTTTTCACATTTTGGCAGTTTGCATGGCAACGGCAGCCATCTTGTTGATGCCATACCCCGATTGCAAATCTACACATGCTGGTTAACATTATAGTATAGTTCCATAACAATTGGTTCATACAATTCCAAGATATAAGCTGGACACAAAAAGTGGAAGAAAAAAAATAATAATAACTAGATTTGTAATTGCTAGCAATAACGGATGGCACCCTTCCCCCATTGCCAGGGCAACGGCAGCCATTTTGAAATTCCCAAGTCAAAGAGCGCATCTACACATGGAAATAATCATTTTTGTAAAGTTTCTTTAGGTTTGGAGCATTTTGATATTTCGGACATTTTTGCTGTTTCCTTGGTAACGGCGGCCATTTTGAAAATTCCAAAGTCAAATATCATTTCTGCATATGCCAGTCAATATTTGTGTGAAGTTTCAATGATTTTTGAGCATTTTGGTTTATTGGACATTTTTGCTGTTTCCATTGTTACGGCGGCCATCTTGAAAGTGCCAACCCCCAATTGCAAATCTTCACATGGTGGTTAACATTATTGTATAGTTCCATCACCTTTGGTCCATTCAATTCCGAGTTCCAGAGTGGACAAAAAAGTGTGGAAGAAAAATAATAATAAAAATAATAATAAAAAAAATAAAAATAAACGTAGAATAACAATATGTCACCCAAATTCCGTTGAGGGCGCCACAACTAGATTTGCCATTGCAAGCGATAGCGGATGGCACCCTTCCCCTATTGCCAGGCAAGCGGCAGCCATTTAGAAAATTCCAAAGTCAAAGAGTACATCTACACATGCAAATAATCATTTTTGTAAAGTTTCATTAAGTTGGAGCATTTTGAAATTTTGGACATTTTCGCTGTTTCCATGGTTACGGCAGCCATTTTGAAAGTTCCAACTTCAAAATGCAAATCTGCCCATGTCAGTTACCATTTCTGTGACGTGTCATCCAGTTTGCAGCATTTTAATTATTTTTGAAACTTTGGACATTTTTTGCTGTATCCATAGTTACAGTGGATAATTCCAAAATTCTAAAAGCAGACATCTCATTGCCACATGTTGTGTTATATATCAATACAGTTTCATTGACTTTGGTGAAATCCTCTTTAAGAAAATGCTGATTTTATGCATTTTCCCATAGGGTCAATGTTAAACTTGCCCCCAGTTTCCATGACAACGGCGGCCATTTTGGAGTATCCAAATATCGTCTTGGCATCTTGGTATACTGGGTAACATTTTCATTAAGTTTCATCCAGTTGGGTCTTATAACGAAAGAGTTAGAAATTGTGATATTTTAGCTGTTTCCATGGTAACGGCAGCCATTTTGAAAATTCCGAAGTCAAACTGCAAATCAGTACATGCCAGTCACCATTCCTATGGAGTTTCTTCTAGTTTGGAACACTTTAATTTTTTTCGCATTTTTGCTGTTTCCATGGAAACGGCGGCCATGTTTTACCATTCTATAGCTAGGTGCACAACTTTACATGGGGGTCCTCATTATAGTGGAGTTCCATCAACATTGGTCCATTGGATTCCAAGAACTTGCGCTGACAAAATTTGTGCAAGAGAAATAATGAGAAAAAAAAGTAACGTAGATTAACATTATGTCACCCCAACTCCGTTGAGGGTGCCATAATAACTAGATTTGCCATTGCAAGTAATAGCGGATGTCACCCTTCCCCACATTGCCACTAAGCGGCAGCAATTTCAAAAATTTCAAACAGTGAATGCACATATATGCATTGCTACACATCTTTCTGTAAATTTTCAGTACATTTAGAGCATTTTGGAACTTTTCACATTTCAGTCGTTTCCATGGCAACGGCCGCCGTTTTGGAAATTCTAAAGTCAAAAGTCTCATCTATAATTGCCAGTTAACAACCATATTTAGTTTCATTAAGTTTGGAGCATTTTGAAATTTTTGACATTTTTGCAGTTTCCATGGCAACGGCGGGCATTTTGAAAATTCTGAATTCAAAAGTCTTATCTATACTTGCCAGTTAACAATCATAATAAGTTTCGTCAAGTTTGGAGCATTTTGAAATTTTTGACATTTTTGCTGGTTTCCATGGTAACAAGACACCATTCCAAAATTTTTAATTACAGATGCCACATTGGTACATGGGAGGGAACATACCAACAAAGTTTCAATGGATTTGACCTACCATTTTAAGAGAGGAAATGCTACTTTTAGGTTTTTGGAGCATTTTGACCATTTTTGCATAGTTTCCATGAAATTTTGGAAATTCCAACGCCAAATGCCACATCTACAATTGTTGCTCATCATTACTGTGAAGTTTCATCAACTTTGGAGCATTTTGAATTTTTTGAAATTTTTGCTGTCGTTTCCATGGCAACATAGTTGTTCCGATGATTGTCAAAATCATCCCAAACCTGTATATAGTGAACATGTACCTTGTATTAAAATTTAATGATTTTAATTTCAGACATATTCAAATAATTCATTAAACAATAAAATTTTATTTGTTTACAATTTTTCTGTTTCCATGGTAACGGCAGCCATTTTTTAGTTCCAAAGTTCCACTGCAACGCAAAAGTTGGTGTTCCTTGTTATACTGACCAATCATTTAGATTGGTTCCATTGGCTCTGAGAAAACTTCTGGACAAAATTAGGTGGAAGTATAATAATAATGATAATAATACGGAAAAAGAAACAGAGGAAAAGCAATATGTCACCCGACATTGTCGATCGTGTGACATAATAAGAAAAAAAGAAACGTAGAATAACAATACGTCACCCCAACTCCATCAGGGTGACATAAAAATAAAAAGTATAAATAAAAAAAAGAATGGAACAATAACAATATGTCACCCGACCTGCGTCAGGGTGACATAAAAAAAGAAACGTAGAATAACAATACGTCACCCCAACTCCGTTGAGGGTACCATAATAATAAGAAAAAAAGAAATGTAGAATAACAATATGTCACCCCAACTCCGTTGAGGGTGCCACAATTGTCAACAAATATTTCGGATAACAAATATCCTTCATCAGTGTAATGTTAAAAATAGTCTTATTAATCTATGCTGATTTTTATTGCAAATATTTTGACCGATATACAAAAAGTTAAAAACCAAACAACGCTTGTATAATCTCAATTCTTGAACTTAACACAAACTAAGTATTTACGAAAAACGAAGCTGCATGTGTATACATCACAAATGATACGAACACATCCATCTGATGTGGTTATCACTGCACGATTTGAAACGCACCTTTTCGTTGATCCCATTTTTGTGCCAACGTTTTAATTTTCTTATCCAAAATCTTTCCCGAGTGATTCTCTCCTCCCTAAACCAACCAGTGTAGTGGTCAATGATGGTAATGGTCAGTCTAATGAAATTTGCACACCCTTATATACGTAAACACTTATGATGGTTTTAATAGATACAATTAACAACTGCCGTGCTACTAAAATTAAGGCAACAGCAGTTTACCGATATTCACATCTCATAAAAGGTTATGAAGACAAATCAAGGTAATAACAAAAATTGAGGGAATCGTACCGAATGCGTCGACAGAGTAAGCGTCTCCTGCTTTAAGTGAATCACCCACCGTGTACCTTAATCAGTTGTGCTGTTGAATTACCGTCCTACCGAGGTTTATCTTATTTTATGCATACGGCAAATATGTAATAGAGGACTGGTATTTCGTGTTTTATAATTGCAGTATTCATTGGATTAAATATTTACGATAATTTCAAAGGTCGTAGGACTCGTATGCAATAACCAATGCATCTTTTACTAACTTACACTTAATCGACCGTCGTCTCCTTGAACAAGTTCCCGTAATAAATGGGGTTATTGTAATACGTTTAGTATTTGCAGCATATGCTACCTCTTGTCTTCTATGTGCATCTTTTGCGTCAGCGTCAGTAAACACAAGTAATGTAGAACCGTTTCTAGATAATTTGATGGCTACAAAGAAAAAAACTGTGAAAATAATCATATGCACATATTTTATTGCAAATAACTTCTTATTACAATAATTATTATCATTTTTTTCTCGATTGAGAACTCATACTCGGTAGTTCTTAGAAACGGCAAGTAAGATATAATCAAAGTGCTGTCATTTTTTTGGCTTACACGTTAAACTTGTCTTCGAATTATGAGTTTGAATATTCCTTTGGTATCTTCTGCCTCTCTTGAATTGTCTACATATGAATTTATTTGTACCTTTGAGATTCTTTGGAGGTCCTTTAAATGGTAGGTTGTCGTATAAAATCCTACTGAAATCAGTGTTGTAATATTTTAATACTAGTAGCATATTAATATAACGGTGCTCAAGACAAGTATTACAATATAGAGGCTAAACACAGTATAAATAACACTATACTAAAAAAAGGTTTATATTTTCAGATTGAAATTATATTTAGTCTTAAAATTGAAATGGTATCAAAATGTGTACGGTTAAATCGCATATTCGTTGTCCAAGTGTATGTTTAGATTCATTTTTAATAAAAAAAAAAACTAGTGTTATATGGAAATGTGGACGAAGATGCTAATTAATTAAAGTTCAGTATGTATTTTTGTATTCTGGAGTTATAACATATTTTTGAAATTTATATATAACAATAAAGTATAATGGCATTACAAGAACAACTCATTTAAAAAATAAGCAGTCATGCACTCAGGTGGAAATACCCTACGTCAGTGGCATGATGGTAGAACATAATTAACCCGGTTTACAAAAAATAAATACATACATCTGTCGCATAATTTCTATCGAAAACATCAACTTAAGTAAAGTGACGTTCTTGTTGTTGGTTTCACTATTATGCAATTAACAAAGTAAACAGAGGAAATGTTATTTTTCGGGTGAGAGGTACAAAGTAGGTATAATAAGGTTTTTTTAAATTAGGAAATAAGAAAAATTATAAGTTCTCCAAATTTCCACTTTTATATCTTTAATAGTCTAGATATGTCATACAAAAGTATTGATGATTTGAATTTTATCTTAAATATTTGATTTGATGGCCAACATATTGTTTTTAAGGAATAACTGCAATATCAACCAAATAATCAGACCATTCAGTTAATAAACAAGTAAGCGCAACGCACCAGCCTTTCCCAAAACTGTATTTTCCAAAACGATATCAAAATGACAGCTTTCGTTTTTCATAATGTTTGTCTCCTTTTGATTTGTTAACCCCCTCATCTTCATTAGTTCTAAAGGGAGATAAGTATTATGTATCTTATTACTTTATTTACCTTTCAATATACCGTCGGATGCAAACTCGGGGCAATCATAACCTCCAGCTACTGTGACATTTTCGATTTTCTTAATCATTTCATATCCATCTCTTTCGACAAATGCCTTATTCAGTGTAACTGAAAAAGCAAATAAACTGAATCACTATTTGTGACTAATATTACATACACACATATATATACAAGTAAAAAAAAAGTTAATTCACATGCACAGAATTATATATTTATGAAAAAACAGTAGTAGGTGAGCTAAAATGTCTTTTATATATAATTAAACATTGCATAACAAATGAGCTAAATAAGAGTGACATAAACAAAAGAAGCTATTGAAAATTCTAAAATCTGTTAATCTATAAATAGAGTTTCTCCAACGTTCATCTCTTGTCATCAGCATTAATATATGCTCAATCTTTTTACATCAGTCATCTCGGTTCAAGATCTAGATATTTGCATGTTTGTTTATATAAAAATGAGGAGATGTGGTATGATTGACAGTGAGACAACTTTCCACAAGAGTATACATGAAGTGTGATAAGCAATTATAGGTCACCGTACGGCCTTTAACAATAACTAAAATTAGAAATCATTGTTGGTTGAACTCAACTTTCATCGGAACTAGTTTGAGTAAATTTGAATCACATTTTTGCCTTTCGAAATTCAATTACAAACCTGGATCACTAAACAGTGATAAAACATAATCCGCCGGTTCATTGTCTGAACCGATTGTAGAAGTCACATATTGAAATATTTGTTCTCTAACAGCAGCAATTTCTTCCTTCATGGAACCTGAGAAGTCTACAACAAACGCTAGTGATACAGCCTTTCCCGTTTTGATGTTGAATATTTCGTCGAACGTTTTACTTCCAAGCAATTTTAGAATACCTGTATCTGTAATATATAAAACATAATATAGTATACAATTGTCGATAGAGAATTAACATAACCAAAATAGTATATAAAAACAATGGGTCAATTAGCCATATTCTTGCAGTATGTATGTGAAAACGTTCAACTTTTTAAAAAATGTTTATTTCATTTCAATGCTGAATTTGGTTGTAGCTAGTACGAACATGTGTCTTTATGCACGATTTTCTAGTTACAACAGCTTGCTATGAAAACCGTTAGGTTTCTTGTTATTGCCATCTTTTGTTAACAGACGTCTTGCATCTGGATACCTAATCAGATTTCGATTTGTCTAAGATGATCTGGAGTTTATTACTTTGATATAAACTTTTTTTAAACTTTCTTTTTTTTTCTGTCTGAGGAATTTATTTCATTTTCTGAAGTTTATTATGATTTATTTGCTTTTGACTGTATCAAATACAGATTTATTCAAAAATAACTCTTATATCACTGATATTTGTAATCGATTGACTGATTGTTCTTAGCTTATTGTGACCAATCTGAAATCTGCTTCTCGTATTACCTTGGACATTTTATCTAAAATTCACAATTTTGACATTTTGGACTTGAATTCTTTGTGCTTTAATAATTCAATTTATATTTTGGTTTCTAGCTACACATATTATCCATAACTTTTAATCAACATGTTTTGATGTGTTACTTTGAAATTCTCAGTTTTGGACATTGAGTTAAATATTTTAATCGGTTACCTAAAAGTGACAATTTACCTTATTCATAACTGACAAAAAAGGATATGGGGTATCCATCCATGACACAGAATCAGTACATGCACAGTAACACACAAAAAGAAAAGGAACATCGCTTTTACTGCTGTTCTTCATGTTCTTAATTATCAAAATCAGATTAGCAGTTCATATTCATTCTTCCAAAAGTTCCAAATAGTTTAATCTTTGACAGTGAACATTATCACTCAGATTACTTGTTATGTGTTACGTTTGTTCATGTCAATTTAATTTTATATAAATACATATACTTGTTTATAATTTTGGTTAATCAAATTGGGCTCAGGTGTTTTACACTGAACCCAGGTCATCCGTAATGAATGTATTCCATGCTTAATTATTGAATTTTTCATCGCGTGTTCCAAAGTCTCTACTGTTAGGCTGCACCAGAGCTTCATATTCAAAGTTCTATTTGTGCACCCGACTCAGTCAGTCACACAGCCAGGCATTGTCATTCAGAGTATTCGTTCATTGTGTTTTATCAAGAGCACCAGGCAGTTTCAGAAACAAGCAGCCACTCAGTCAGGGTCTTGTTACACAATCATTTAGGTCACCATTTTCCTTGGTGACATTATCCTCCAGTGACAAAATCTTATTTGCATATTTTCGATAAGAAGCTATCAAACTATATATTAATCAAGTGTATTCTACATGGGTTCCCAAAATGAAAAACGGTATATTTTGAATTTTTTGGAGAAAGGGGGAAATGCTTTCCAAATATGATAGATCGCTCAAGTACGAGTTATTATAAGATTTATCTATCTGAATACAGAGTGACTCTAATCATAATTATGCATTTAATATATTTGATGTATTTCTCCATTCCAACTGGACATGGCTGCGTATTAAAAAATCCCGCAGACCAAATTCACACTTCTTTATACATGTATTTCTGTTGGAAGGGAGAATTACAAATGACCATATTTCGATATCCCATCAGTCAACCGTTTGGTCTGATATTTATAATCCATTTGTAATCTGTATTTCGGTACACTGGATATAAAAAAAATTATGTTCTTCTTATGAGTTTTGGACATGGAAATAAAATATCATACAACAATTTGTTCATTGTAAAATGTTAACAACTCTTGAATAGACTCAGTTATTAATCAAATATAAAAACAAGTATACCGACGAAAATAAAAATCAGATGCTTGCAGGAATTAACATTTGGCATTCGCTTACTTCAACGGAGTAAGACAAGGTGCGCCAACGAGTCATGCGATATCTTACCTTACGTACTTCCCCATTATACCGTTACAAAATAACTATCAATGTGTAAGAAAAGTTGAGAAAACTACGTACTTGTAATCATACCATTAGTATTCGAATGATATAATGAATTGCTCGTTGAAGAGTTAAAGTTGTAAAAATATTTATCCATGTATGATTTCTGAAATCTACACTTTGCGGAGTTGAAAATGCCATTCCGACGCTAGCTACGTTGTAAGTATCTTAATGAATTTCAAATACCTTTCATTATCATAAAGTCTTTTGTTGCGGCAATAGCAGCTAAATATGCCTTTTGATGAAGATAAAAATGTGGAGATAAACGTTCTGTTGTTGTTTCCTTGTTTATTCCACATTTTGCTACCATTTTACGACTCTCATCGTCCGGTCCACCATGACTACATTTTCCAACGGTTGCGCCTTGTGGTTCTATGAAATAAAAATATAGTAGCGGTTAAACTTTATTAATAATCGTATGATTAATTTAACGCACGCATTGATTTATGTTTACCTTTTCCTTTGCTGAGGCAAAAAAGTATAACAAAAATACAGAACTCCAAGGTAAATTCGAAAAGGAGTAGTCCAGAATAACTGACAAAATCAAACGTTATCAACCAAAAAAACGACTGAAAAACAACTGTCATATTCCTGAATTGGTACAGGCATTTTCCGACGAAAATGGTGGGTTAAACCAGATTTTATAGATAGCTAAACCTCCCACTTGTATGACAGTTGATTATAGTTCCGTTATACTGACAAAGTTGGATGAGAAACCCAAACAGGAATGATAGGTTATGTGACAATAATTGGGATCAAGCAGCCAAAAGTGTGTAAATATGCATTACAAGCATACAAGTGTTTCAGAAACAGGAAAAATATCGAAGGTGTTGCCTTTATTGCAATTTTATTTGCTGATGTTACACCAAACAATCAAATGAAATCTCGACTGACAAATTTCCATTTCGATCGTCTGCTTATTTTTAATTCTACGGTGGGAAAATGGTGAATAGATTACTATCTACCATGATTTCTTTTCTTACTTGTAGGTTTAGTGTTTCCTCTTCCGTGATGGTAACCACTAGTTAACTTGTTTTGTACTATAATATTCTGTCCACAGTCAAACCTAAAAACAAATATTGACTGCATCAGTGCTATGTATTTTTATTTGATAATAAAAACATGGTTTTACTAAAGATATGAAAGTTTCTGGATAAATACGATGTTTGTTGCTAGAAAAAAAATAATACATCTACGTATAACTGAGATTCCAGTTTTACTGAAGCAAGCAACTGATTCACACTACAGTTCTATGGGAAATCACATCCTACAGTTTACTGTGATGTTGTTTATCCAGTTCGTAATTTAAGATACGAACCATATAAACTAATATGTCCTTTGAATAACTTAATCTTCAAGATTATAAATTTAACCTTATTAGCAAGAATAAAAAGAAAAGAAGCAAGCATCAACCTCCCGTTCCGCTATATAGATGATATCCTCTAACTAAATAATTCAGACTTGTAATTAAGGATACCACATATACAGTTAGTTTGAAACTTAATTTCTAATTGTCGGTCGGAAACTTAATTTTACGACAAAAGACATGACTTCAGTTATCCAATTGTGACATTTTCATTTGTATGTAGTAACATTCCAGCAGCGTCAGCACATGGAGTATATATCTCCCAGTTAAAACAAAATTCCATTCCTTATGTTTCCAATCGTTATTTCCTTAATAGAGGGTTGTTGCTTACAATGAAGCTATTGAACAGGGGTTCATAATGGTAGAGTTGAAGTCATCCCTCATGGACGCCAGCATAGTTTGGTTAAGCATTATGATATATATGATTCACAGATGACAATGGATATTTTCTAATTGTCGTTACCACAGTCTTGTCTCTTCATCGATTATGACATGACCGAAAACGCCTTATCACCGAATGCTTGCTTGCCATGAACAACACGAAGGGTGTTGGGTAAAGTAGATAAATGCGTTGTGCATAGATCGTGTTTATTCAACTAATTCAAATAATTTCACTTATCAACGACTTTCACTTTTAACGAAGTCTATTCAAATACACATATAGTTGTCTGCTAGTTGTTCAGTTTTTGGTAGTTTATTTTTTAATATTTTCTCAAGCTCGTACACATGCATCTCGTTTTGGTTGAATTCTTGTAGATCTCTCTGTTGAAGTGTCATCATCTTTGTCCTTTTCTAATTTTTAAATGTTGGTTCGGATTTTGAGTGGGTAAAGTTCTACTATAGGACGTGATGTATGCCCTGCGCGAGTTCTTGTTATAGCTGCATGTGTGAAACCATCGTTTCCAGTGATCAATTCATCAACAACAGCAATGTTCCATCGGTTTTTCGGTGATTTATCATCTTGGACTTGCACTACATCCCCAAATTGAATAGTTTGTATATTGTTTCCTGTTTGGCGATGACATTCTATGTGTCGTTATATATTCGGATTTCCACCGGTTCACAAAATGTTCCATTAAACTCAACTGTTAATTCAAGTGTTTGTACAGTTCTTGTTGTCCACTATTCACGGCCATGTATTCAATTTTCTGTTTTGGGTATGGTGTTAAAGTTATCTTTCTTCCGTAGGTGTGACGGATTTAAGGGCTCCTCGTCCTCATTATCCGGTGAAACGTAGGTCAATTGTCTATCATTAGTGATGGCTTCTATTTCTTTAACAATTGTTTGAAGTGTATATATGAAAATGGAAGTTCTACCTAATGCTTTCCTAAAACAAGTTTTTGTTATTCCGATAAAGCGTTCTCACCATCCTCCATACCATGGCGCTCGTTTCGGTATAAATCTCCAACTTGTTCCATATGTTGACAATGTATCTTTTAGCGATGGTGACTGAGTTAATATCTTAACCAATAAGGACATTTCGTATTTTCACATACAGGTGCGTTATGAATTCTCCCACCACAGCAAATTGCGTCCTTGATATTCAGAAACAATCTAAGTTGTCTCACTAAACAGTGGGTCTAGTGTCCTTTAATTTCAAGTTTTACATTTCGTCCTTAACTGAAGATCGATGGCAATTCATTATCCAACACTATGTTGCATCCTGCAATTCCTCTTTTGAAACGTATTCACCTTATTTCCCTGTAATATCGTCGAACGGCAATTTCGTATATAGAAATACATTGGCTGTTATTCGTAGTAATTTTAGTAATGTACTATATCTAGTAATTTGCATCACCTAATGTACTCCTGCTTGATAATCTATTTCATTTTCCGTTGTACTTGATTCCTCAAAGTCTGTGCTGGTAAGTAACACTGTTGAGTCATTTGACTTCCACGACGGCCATTTTGATTAATTGGAGATCGATTCGGGTCCATTGAACCAGAAGGTAATTTTTTTTTCAAACTGTGACACGCTGAGTCATCTAGTAAAATTCAGTCGAATTATTTATCGTTGGACAATATCTCCATTCTTGTGTATTGGTCAATATACGTATTTCCGGAACTCTATTTCTTATGGACCGTTTTCAGTTGCTTTGAAGTTGATAACCACTGTAGCACTGTCCGACTGTCTGACCAAAACGTTATGTCTTCTATCTCTAAAGCTGATTTAATGTGATCGGTGAGTTGTGCTCCAATCAATTCGGCCATTAATTCCAGCTGTGGAAATGTAAGTTCTTTGAGTGGTGCTACTCTATTTTTTGAAATAACTAAAGATGACTCATGTTGGTTACATATGTATACAGTTGCTCCGTATGCAATTGTACTAGCGTCTACAAAAACGTGTTGTTGGGTTTTCTGAATTGTCAAATTGGTCAATTACTGCCTATTCAATTCTGTTTAAGTCGATTTCTCCAAATTCTTCACTAAATGTCGCCATGTTGTCTGTATTTCTAGTGTTAGTGGCTCATCCCATTCGTATTTCTGTTCCCACAATTTCTGCATCAAAATGTTTGCTCGTACGGATACAGGGCTATGTAATCATAGCTGATCGTAAATACGTGACGACTGTTTAAGATTTTCACGTTTCGTTATTTTGGTAGTTCAATATCATATAAGTTGACTTTTTTGAAAGGTGATCGTATCTTTATCTGTATCCCATTTCAGGCCAAGTACTTTTACTGAAACCTCTTTTTCAAGAACTGTATGTTGTTTGGTGTAATCCATTAGTGTTGGGCAAATTCCAACTCCAAGAACATGAAGAACGAAAGTTAAATCCAGCCTCCGACATCAAGGATTTGGCTTGTATACAAAATAATTCACGGCGTCATATTCATTTTTCACACTTAACAAAATGTTGTCCACGTTAAGGTCATTCTTCATTATAGCTGTAGTGTTGCGTTTAACGGTGAAGTTGTTGCACCAAACAAAATGGATTTAAATAGTTATGTTGTAAGAGTACTACTGGGATTATCTGTGTTAGTCAACCAAAAAAAGCTTGTAAAATCTCGACCTTTTTCATCTAATCCAATATGTAAAAACCCCTTTTCAATGTCAGTGCTTATAGCGTACTTGGTTCTAAACCTCATCAATATTTTTGTTAAGTCGTTTAAATCGGATGGAGTTTACATTAAGCAGTCATTCGAATTTGCGTGATCTGGTGACATTTTACAGCTACTGTCGTACACTATATGAATAGGTGTTGTCGCTGAATCATTTTTTTTTATTGCATGATGTGGTATATAGTGAGTGCTACTACCATTGTCGTTTTTCTCGTCTATCTTCTCTATGAACCTCTCTTCATTTGGTCTTCAATATTTTCTGAATATTTTCATAACATTATTGTTTAAGGGCCAACTGAAGCCCGCCTCCAGGTGCGGGATTTTCTCGCTGCGCTGAAGACCCATTGGTGGCCTGGTGCTGTTTTGTGCTCTTTAGTCGTGGTGTTGTCTCTTTGATTTTTTAATTGTGCTTTCATTCCTTGCTTTAGTGATCATTATGTTTGAAGGTAAGTCCGGATGATCCAGTTTACATGGAAACTTGGCGGAAAAACGTTCGTTTTCAAATTAGATACAATCCTGTTGGTAAAACTCTCCTCATCATCTTGTGATATCTTGTCTTGCTGTTTACTTTTGCTGTTTAAAGTTTCTATTTATCTATTGTAGTTTTTACGATTTGAGGCAAAACGGCAAAACAAGGTCTTGTTTGAATAGACGGTAACAAATGAGTTTTCCATTTCATTGTTCCAATTTTGTTCATATTGATCTTTCATACTTTAAACAACCGTTCGTACCAACTATCTCTTGTTAATAAAAGTTTGTGTGTTCCGTACATATCACAATCCACAATTATTGAGTATACTCGTTATACTCAATACCCATGGAGACCCTACATTATTGACAATGTTCAATTGATAAATCAGTTTGTATGTTAAAGAGGACAGTTTCGAATTTTTATCCTCAATTAAATTTATCTAAAATGATACAATTCTTGTTTTTATTTGTATTTCGAGTTTCCAAGTTTGCCATATACCATAAAAGACGGTGTTGACAATTTGAGTTGTAAAAGCATCTTACAAAACTTTAAGTGAATCCTTTCAATGATATTGTTGTTACCTGTTCCCCATATTTCGTAACCGTACAAAAGAGCGGGCACGACCATTTTATCAAATAGGTGTAACTGTATTCTAATAGAAAAATTGTGAAATCATCCTAGCTTTAAAACCTCATACATGGTTTTTAGGCCTTTTCCGAGAGGCTTCTTCCTTTGCTTTTTTTTAAGTTTCCATTACGGTTTAGTAAAACTACCAGATAGTTAAAATCTTAGTTTTCTGTGTCTTTATCGGTTGAAAAAATAGTTTTCGTTTTAATAGTTAAGACATAACTAAACCTGTATTGCTATCTTACTATCAAAACTTATCATCCTAGATTCTGTTGATATTTAAATTTTGGCATTGCACAAGGAAATACTTTTCTTGGACCACTGATGAAGTATTGACACTAAATCAGTTGGAGGAGAACTGATTGTTATTTTAGTCTTGGAAAAAATTACTTTTTATTAATTGAAAGTGACTTTGAACTAGCGTTTAGTAACAATTTGCACTTTAGGATCAATACTTTGTATTTTTTTGTATTTCTTTGTTGGTTTTTTTTTTTGTTGTTGTTGAGCTTAGTCATTCTCAATCACGTGGATCAAGCCCTTCCAAACTGATTTTTACATTTTATTTTTTTCTGTTGTTACGTAACTGTTCAAGGTTAGAGAAGGGTTGAGCGCTCACACACTATTTAACCCTGCCACATTCTTTAATTGCAAGTCTTAAATTTGAAGTCTGTAATTCAGTGGATTTCGTTGTTCCTCTATGCCATAAACAGTTTGTCGTTCCTATAAAACCAGTTTTAATCCACCATTTTCTACATAAGGAAATGCCTGTTCCAAGTCAGGAATATGACAGTTGCTTTCAATTCGTTTGATGTGTTTGAGCTTTTGATTTTGCCATTTGATAAGGGACTTTCCGTTTTGATTTTTCCTTGGAGTTCGGTATTTTTGTTATTTTACTTTTTCGTTCATTGTTGTAGTATAAATTAAGACGTTGGTTTTTTCTATTTCGAATTATTTCACATTTGGTAATGTTAGGGCCTACAATACGTTATGGGTTTTTCAGAAAACCATATGGTGACCTGTTACTGTTTTCATCTTTGTAATTTAGACACTTGTAGTTGGTTGTCTTGATGGCAACCCACACCATTTCCTTATTTTCCTATCTAGAAACCTAATACCAACTGCGTGTGGCTAGTTAAATCAATATACATACTGATCTATTGTTACACTGGTATGACAAAAGTTGTTCGTACATAACTGGTGTATATAGATAATGTAATTGTTCGTATGCAATGACCAGGTGTATCCTATCTATTCTATTCTAAATTTATTAAAGTGTATCATACACAATGACTTTTACTAGCATAAATAATATTTTTCATCGTTAAGCTGTCATCAGCGCTTATTTGTTTAACATGACAGTATATCTTATTTTACTCATACCTACAATTCATTTTATTTTCGTAGTAACCATGATAGTACATTACATTGTCCGTCAACTGTGGTAATTTACTTTCACAATACAACAATTGTTGTTTTGTTTGTATATTTCGATGACTGAATGGGATATTACAATTTATTTGTTTTTGATACGTACTAAAGTAATTTCTGAATGACCAAACGGTAAGCTACTGTATTTTCATTTTATAGAATGAAAACAAAAGAAAATGAGCAATCATTATGAATTATTTTGATCCTTGATATATGTAACTATAGGTTAATTGACATATATGACTTACTCTATACTTGTAACATCATTACATGTATCTTCATTTGGTGAAGCTACTGCCATAAGTATCTTCCCTTTGATACCTGCACAAGAAAACATGCTTATAAATCAAACCTTTGGTACATGCGTTATCTAACATAAATAAATTATTTTGCAACCAATTATTCAAGACAATAGGAAAACGGATCATGTGTAGAAAAGTAATTGCTAGGGACAAAAATGAATAATGGAAGCAATGTAGAGCACGTAAAAAGACTGAAGGCTATAATACGAACTTTTATTATATAGTGAACGTTCCTCTTTTTATACCTTAACATAAAAATTTGTCATGGTAGATTTCATACCAAAATTGGTGACAAACAGATAGATAATCAATTGCTTGTAATGTTACAGTGGTGAATATAACTCATGAAATGAGAACGAGTTAGCAGGATTCTTTTGAATCTATTTAAATAGCCCATCATTCAAATAGTTCATCAGCTACTCCTCAGTCAGTTAAAGAAATATTTAAATCACTTACAAACGAAAACAGAGATATATTTTACATGGTGACACAAGAAAATGCTAAAAATCTATCAATGATAGAAAATAAATTTCACGGTCAATTTATGCAGATAAAATAATATATGGAGATCCAATTATCACATTTAAGAGAAAAAGTCATTGGAGAGATTAATAAGCTTGAGACTATATCAGATCAAATACAATCTGCAGAACAAGCAATAAATTGTGTTGTCGCTGGAATGCCTGTTGAATCAAATATGAAATGATTTCGCTGTAGTGATAAAGGTCATGTAAAAAAGCTTGTCCGAATAGAAGATTTTATTAATATTAGTTTTGTATTATTTGTTCACACTTTTGTGTTTTCAAATGTTTTGGAATATTTAGTTCTGAATATCATGCAGAAATGATATGTTGAAATGTAGAAATAAAAGCTTGCTGCATCGTCCAATTTGATTGGTGTGGTCTTCCTGTTCTTGAGGTAATGCTGTCAAAGTAAAATTTACACTGAATAATTGTGGTATAAACCCACCACTACACTACACACAATAAATGTACGCTGGAGTAAGTTGCCTAATAAATAAAACATTATCTACAACCATGTTTTTCTGAATTCACAGAAAGACTGACAATACGATTGCCAACTAAAAAACACGAAAGGACAGAAAACTGTCAACAAAACATTATACAGAAAACTGAAGATTGAGCAACATTAACTCGCGAAATCTTGAGGTTAACTCATATGCACTAGATATCTTGCAAATTCACAACGTGTTAAGACTTAAGGCGATTCAAGCAATGAAATGCATGCTTCTGGCAGGGACAATATATTAATAGCAAAGTCGAAATATATATTTTATTACTTGCGCTTTTTAGTTCTGTGTGATTGACATGCATTCTTTTTATAAACTCATGTCTCGAACTTTTATGGAGGATTACGTGTTATCATAGTTCTATGATTTCAATCTTAAGGGCATACGATACAGTAGGAAGGGCAGATAATAACGTTTTCAAAACTTTTTGTGTTGTTTTCGCGATGTTGTTAATCAGATCGTTGTAAAACTTATTTCAACATAATTTAGCGCCTTATTGGCACTTAAAAATCAAGGTTTATTGCTTTTATTGAAAGAACAAGCACATGGACCCCTATTTTTTTTCTTTTGCAATCAATCAAGGAATTTTTCAGGAACGCTCCGCCAAAATTCTAAGAAAAAATCAACGATCTAATTTGCACTTCTGAATAGACGCAAAAATGTTTATTTCACTAATAATATTATAATTTAAAAAAACAAAAATTCAGTTAAACCTTACACTTTTTACAGCATTTTCATGCCGTGGTTCAAAGGAACATTTTACAAAAAATCCGGTTAAATTATGACTGTTCGTTCAAAAGTATTGTTACTTTTCTTAAAAGTCCTTATTTATGCAATTTCAGTGTTTTTCCTTCAAATATGCAAATTTCGAACCAAATTATCTCAAAAAGTAAGTCATGAAGGTATATATTTCTTTGCACATTTCAAAAGTACACATTAAAATTGACCTTCTGCAAAATTTTAAGGAAAAATCAACGAGGGATCTCTACTGTATCGTATGCCCTTAATTATTCATGTGTTTTCTTCGAACACTTACCAAAATCTTTATAAGGTACTGCACCTTTCATTTCGACCCAGTTGGTGTTGCTGTAAAACGACTGCACAGTGTAAAGACATTCTCCCAACTGTTTTCGCAACTCATCTACATCGTTTTTCAATTGGCTGAGTTTATTCCTGCACGATATCACATGTTGATGAGCTACAAAAAAAGACTGATCTATCAATTACCAATTTATATCTTTTCTGGTTTAATTACTAAAAGGTTCTACTCTTCTTGAGTCAGCAGGTCAGAAGAACTCGTGGGGGGTAATGCTTTGACGAAATTAGTGTGAACATTAATTTTGAAAGTCTCACATAAAAAATTAAGTTTTTAACCTAGCTGTTCCTCTCAAGGTTATTTGTACAATTTGATGTGTAGAACGAGCTTCTTGTTGAAACTATCGACCTAAAGCCCCTGGCAGACAGACACGTTCACCTTACAATCATTCCATACACCAACTATAGTTAAACTTTTGTTCAAAAATTCAATGAAAGACATCAAACTGTGAAAACTTTACATTGACCAATGAACCATAAAATGAGGTCAAGGTCAGATGGTATATGACGGACAGACATGTACACTTAGCAATCATTCCTTGCACCAAATATAGTTAACCTACTGCTTATAGTATATAAGAAACAGACTTAACCAGAAAAACTTACGATTGAACAATGAACCATCAAAATGAGATCAAGGTCATATGAACCCTGCAAAACAAACAAGTTCACCTTTTAATCATTCCATACACCAAATAATGTTGACCTAAACTATCTGAGAAATAGATCAAACAACAAAGACTAAACATTGTCCGATGAACCATGAAAAAGAACTGAGTTCCAATGTCTCCCGCGTTGCACATATTTATTCTATCTAAAGTACAATGGAAAAAACTAAAAAAAAAAGCATTTTTTTTAAACTTAATCTTATACTTAATATCTTAGAGGAATGAAGGCTTTAGAGCAAATGCAATGTGATTTCCTTTATAATTGATATTTCCAAGGACATAACTCGTTAAAAATATTTGATCAGCACTTATTTTCGAAAGTGTTAAAGCCATTGCTGATATAAACATATGATATAAGTTTCATAAAATTCTGGCAGTAATTGTACACTTGAGAACACTGAAACTGCAATTTTCCATATAATCAATATTTCAAAGGGATATAGATATAAGAAGATGTGGTATGAGTGCCAATGAGACAACTCTCCATCCAAGTCAAAATTTATAAAAGTAAACCATTATAGGTCAAAGTAGTACACTCTTTTAAAAATAACTGACCGGCACTGATTTTTGAACTCGTCAAAGACATTGATGATATAAACCTATAATATAAATTTCATAAAAATTTGGCAAAAAATTGTAGACATTAGAGCGTTTATAAGGCTATTTTCCATATGATCAATATTTCCAAGGGCCATAACTGTTTTATAAATTATTGATCGTTACTGATTTTCGAACTTGTCAAAGACATCGCAAATATAAACCTATAATTTAAGTTTTATATAATTCTGGCAAGAATTGTACACATGAGAGCGCTAACAATGCAACTTTCCATATAATTTATGTTTCCAAGGGGCATTACTCTTTTAAAATAATTGATCGGCACTGATTTTCGGACTTGTCCAAGACATTGGTAATATAAACTTATGATATAAGTTCCATAATAATCTGGCAAGAATTGTTCAAATGAGAGCGCTAACGATGCAATTTTCCATATAATTAATTTTTCTAAGGGGCATAACTCTTTTAAAATAATTGATCGGCACTGATTATCAAACTTGTTCAAGACAATGCTGATATAAACCTATGATACAAGTATTATAAAAATATGGCAAGAATTGTACACGTGAGAGCACTCACAAGACCGGACGGACGGACGCCCGGTGTTTCTATGTCCCCCGCAACGCGTTGCTCGGGGGACGAAAAAAGTCAAGGTTAGATGAAACATGTTGACAGTTGGACATGTACACATAACAATCACACAATACACCAAATAAAGTTGACCTAAAATTGCTTTTAGTATCTAAGATACGGGCTTGACCATGGAAACTTAGCCTTGGTCACTGATCCATGAAATGAGGTCGAGGTCAGGTGAATCCTGCCAAGGAAAACATAGTCCAAATACAGTTATCCTATAACTCAAAATAAGTGAGAAATTCACATGACAAAAAATTACATTTTATTCAATCAGTCGCTGAACCACGAAAATTAAATCATGGACGAGGGGCATATGACAGACGCAAACTTCGTACCATAAGGTATCTGCATACAAGGTACGAAGCATCCAGGTCTACCAGGTACCCACTAAACTATAAAACTTTATACAAAAAGTTAACGCCGTCCACATTGTACACTTGTTTTTAAAAAGAATCAATTTGTTCAGAATAGAACATTTTAACTAAGTTAGATTATGACAAACTAAGTATAAGTATAAGTACATAGGTATCATAACTATAAAAGTTAATCGACAAACTAACGTGAACGGTAGTTTTATTATTTCTTACCTTCACAACTTCACAGTTGCCATCCCTGTCTTTATAAACAATTAGGATTAATATGGCTTTAATATTGATTCACTTATATGGTCTTTGCATCGGAATTAAACACATTTATTCTAAAACCAGTTGTTGGCATGACACGAGTTATGTTCTTCTCATATATTTTATGACGGTATAATACTAAACCCCTAACAGGAGGGATTGTGCCTGATATTCATATGATGAAGACATAATCTTTCAATCAGTTTAATTGAGGTCTGGAGCTGGCATGTCAGTAACTGCTAGTAGTCTGTTGTTATTTATGTATTATTGTCATTTTGTTTATTTTCTTTTGTTTCCTATTCTGACATCGGACTCTGACTTCTCTCATACTGAGTTTTACTGTGCGTACTGTTGTGCGTTTGTTTTTTCTACATTGGCTAGAGGTATCGGGGGAGGGTTGAGATCTCAAAAAACATGTTTAACCCCGCCGCATTTTTGCGCCTGTCCCAAGTCAGGAGCCTCTGGTCTTTGTTAGTCTTGTATCATTTTTAATTTTAGTTTCCTGTGTATAATTTGGAGTTTAGTATGACGTCCATTATCACTGAACTAGTATACATATTTGTTTAGGGGCCAGCTGAAGGACGCCTCCGGGTGCGGGAGTTTCTCGCTGCATTGAAGACCCATTGGTGGCCTTCGGCTGTTGTCTGCTCTATGGTTGGGTTGTTGTCTCTTTGACACATTCCCCATTTCCATTCTCAATTTTATTACATAATAGAATTGCACGTTCTTACATAATAAAATAATAATAAAAAAGTCATCCAATCGAATTGTGTAGGATTAGAGAACAATGACCTGTCGATATTGAAATCAGTGTTAGTGGTAAATTGGGTAGGAAGAAAAATTACAAATTTTTATTTGAATTTATTTTAATTAAGACCAGACAATAATCAAACAATATTTTTGCTAGAAATATAAAAAAAAACGTATGCGTCTGTGTTGGCATTGTTTTCTGATCTGTTAACGTATCGAAATCAATAGAAATTAAAATAACATAAAACTAATTGTAGGCAGGTTTTCAGTACGAGACATTTGGTGTGAACGCGGCCAATAGTTATGTCACTTATAATGTTGGCCATAGACATTAGGTCTTTCCATCTTTCCGTGAAAGGACCTTTTGATTTTATTTTGATTATTTTTTTCTTCCGCAACTTTAGTGTTTTGAAATGATACTTTTATTTCGCAACATGTCGATAAGATAGTAAGTATATGATATCGAACAGTTGATATCACTTTTGAAACTGATCATCTAACTGACCAATTTTCCATATGGAAGTTATGTCCCCGTTTACTGTTTTTTCTTTTTGTCGCTTCTTCTCCCACACCATAATTATCTTATATCTTAATGTGTATCTCTTAAATGTTTATACGTCCTCAGGATGACCTCTTCAATTTGGACCGAAGCGATCCGGTTTAACTGTAATGATCAAAACGAGAATGGAAGCGGGGAATTCTTTAAAGAGACAACAACCCGACCAAAGAGCAGAAAACAGCCTAAGGCCATCAAGGGGTATTTAACACAGCGAGAAAATTCCACACCCGCAGGTGGTCTTCAGCTGCCCCTGAACAAAAATGTGTACTAGTTTAGCGAAAATGGACGTATATTATTTCCCTCATTTTGTATGACATCAATAGCATGTCGATGTAATTCATAAACCATAAATCATAGAGTTTTAGAGTCTTTTAATATGAGGGATTTGTCCATAGCCTGGAAATTAAGGTCAATGTCATGTTCTAAATTTTGAACATTGCTTATTATCGCAATTCGCAGGAAAAGCTGTCGACATAAAATGTTTGTAAAATTGTAATTTACGACTTGATTCAAAGCCAACACAATTGGGTCGAAGTACTATAGAAGTTTTCTCCTTTTACATATTCAAAATAAGCTGTTCGGAAGGATAGTCTTTGGATTTTTCATCTTTGACCTCAAAATTGGGTCAGGTCAAGGGTCAATGAGATGTTCTATATTTTGACCTTTGCTTGTTATAGTTTTTTCACTGAAACCGTAAGAGATAGACAAATTATGAAATGGAGCACAGTGTTTGGACCATTATGGTATTGATTTGATATATTAATTAAGTTTCAACCAATCCGATGACATTTAGTTACTTAAATATATGATGTTTTGGTTAAAGCTTCATATTGGTATATGGATTGCATTGGGTTTATGAACATATGACCTTGAAAAGGTCAACCGGAAGTGACTTTGCGTTATCCGAAATTAAACATTATTTTGCAGTCACATCATTCAACAGTATATAGAAACCATATATTTTTGAAATCGCACAAGGTAACCGATCATAAGACATAGAAATGACATTGTGTAAACCGGAAGTAGCAAATTATCTTCCCCTTTTCAAGCAAATGTATCTAGAAACCCTTTTTAAATCAGTAAAATGAAAGCTATCATATAACACCAAGTACCTACTAAAATATAGTTTTTTTTCTCTACAATTTTATTAAAAAGTCTATTTTTTCAGATCTGTTTCAAGTTTGTTTCAATTTTACTGATCAACAAGTATGAATTTGTCTGTGGAAAGATATTTAATTGGGTTTCTCTAAAAAAAAATAGTTTCTTGTTATTATTACAAGTGTCAGATATATGAATTGGTACATTTAATGTTATTGCAGTGATTAAACATAATTAGATCATCTTCGTCGACTTTTGAGAAATATGCTTGAAAGAGAAATTTGATCAAGGTAATTTAAGTATTTTGATTGGATGACGTCTGCAATCAATTCCACAGTTGACGGTCGGAGTCAATGGAAACAATGTTACGCAATCGCAGTCGATGTTTACGGGATGATTGAAATGATTAATTCCGAACATCATAAATGTATTGCATAAAAATAGGAATAACAGTACTGTTAAACCTTCATCATTAATTATTAATTTTTGTTACCTAATAATATTTGATCAGCATGGCAATGTACGAAAGCTTTATCCTTCTTTTCCACTTGTGTATTTGCAATTGCCTGAACAATGGCATTTATTGATTTCTCCATTTCTATTTTACTGGTGGCATCTACAATTTTAATGTCGATAGCTTATGAAAAATGTTGAGAAGTTTTACGATGTTGTAGTTACTTTGAGTTTAACCTTTAACCTTAAGGCAATATCATGTGTCAGGAAGTTAATAATAGTAGTAAGAAATATAGTGTCGCTTTTAATTACCTATTACATAATGGCTATATCAAAAATAATGCTTGTAAAAACATCAGTTTTTTGTATATATTTGTTTTTAATCAGGCTCTCATAACGAGTGGCTCATGTATACGTTGTTGATTAATGTACCTATTATATATGCATATCTATGTTTTATATAAAATATGTACATGAGGTGAGACTTTAATCAAATATTTGTTTTCTCTTGTCTTGTCTTAAAAAATATAATCAAACATTAAGTGATTAAGATGTATTGTTTTTGCACAGTGTCCGTGTCTCCGTGATGTTAATCTTGTGGAATGGTTTTTGAGCATCCTTTGATTTTTATATAAATAGAACTTACTACCAAAAAAACAAATAGAAATAGAATGTAAATAACTTATTTCTAAAGTCGTTTTTAAACTTTATAGAAAACTGTCCGGCATCGGTGTCTGCAAAAGATATTTGATTTGTCATCACTTAATTGTGCGTCTAACGTTATCATCCTACACACGAGGATGTAACTTGAAGACTCGGCAGTTGACGTCTAACGTTACCAACCTACACACGAGGATGTAACATGAAGACTCGGCAATCGACGTCTAACGTTACCATCCTACACACGATGATGTAACTTGAAGACTCGGCAATCGACGTCTAACGGTATCATCCTACACATGAGGATGTAACTTGAATACTCGGCAATTGACGTCTAAGGTTACCATCCTACACACGAGTATGTAACTTGAAGACTCGGCAATCGACGTCTAACGTAACCATCCTACACACGATAATGTAACTTGAAGACTCGGCAATCGACGTCTAACGTTATCATCCTACACACGAGGCTGTAACTTGAAGACTCGGCAATCGACGTTTAACGTTACCATCCTACAAACGAGGATGAAACTTGAAGACTCGGCAATTGACGTTTAACGTTACCATCCTACACACGAGGCTGTAACCTGAAGACTCAGCAATCGACGTAGAACTAAGAAGATCAAATAACATTTTATAAATTTTGGAAAGCCGAAGTACTTATTCACGACGTTGTTACATTATATGTCCTTCTGGTCGTCAGCTGATTACAAATGATACTTGCTGATTCGTTCTTTTTTGGACATAAACCATGGTTGTCGTTGGTTCATTTCAGTGATATTTGTTTTTCGTAAATTGTTTTGTTATGAATAAGGCCGTTAGTTTTCTCATTGAATTATTCATTATTTTTCATGTCAGGGTCTTTCATAGCCGACTATACGGTATGCGTTTTTCTCATTGTTGGAGGCCGTACGGTTGCCTATAATTGCTAACATCCACTTCATTTGAACTTTGCTGGATAGTTGTTTTATTGGCAAACATACCACATCTCCTTATTTTAATACTGATAGGGAGAAAGATTTCGATGTTCAGATTTCCTAAAGTTGTTCCGAAATTAAAGAATGGATCAAACATTTGATAGGACGCGGTAATGAAGTTCCCTGCACAGACACAGGAAATGCACAATTCTTATCTATATAACTATATTTGGTATTATGTAATGTCTTGAATGTATGGCGCGATATCGTGATGATGCTGCAAATTCAATTCATGCAAGAATAAGCACAGTGGTTAGCTGATCTAAACAGGGGAAGTTTCGCTTTTTTCATGAAGAAATCTCATGCCGACGATTTTAGCGGGTACATTATCAATTTTGATTCATTATACTTCTCTCACAATTTTCTCTACATGTACAAAATTAATTTTCGTTTACAACTTGATCTGTTTTCAACTACTTTACAAAGTGCTAACATATACAATGCATGCTGAAAAGCTGCATCTTATGACCTGTATACTTGACGTAAACAACATGTCTTCAGGAATGTACTGACATACGCATTAAGGTGAATAGCTTAAAGAATTGCACTTACCATTCTTAAAGAAGTCATCCACAGCTGATTTTTCTGATCCAGTCCGTTTTAGTTTAGTTTCCCAAATATAACTTGACAGTGCCTGCATTGTTCCCTCTTGAGTTATGGTTTCGTGAGTGTTTTTACTTCCATCTGGCGTCTGACGCGTATAAAATGCGGTTGTACTATCTAATATTGATATTAATATCAACACAACAATTACTTTCATTTTTACAACGCTTTGAAACCTGTTACTTACTTCGTAAGATGTCACAACCTATATTCCTTTTTATTTTGTTGAGTTTAGCGCTGTGTTTCAATTGAGAACTTTTGTAAACCATAATCAGTATCCCAATTATAAATTAACAACTGCGTCTTTAACTGTGAAGGTATTACGATACTTCACGAATATGACCTAGATACAGTTATAATTTGATAGTATAGAATTACAAACATGCATTTCACCAAAAGTTAAACTGTAGTTTGATACATTAATTTGCAAAAATGACATCCGACTCAAATTAATAAGATATATGATGGGTCTATCCTTAAAAACACTTAATGCCCTAAATCTTATTAATTCTAATTGCACATACTTTTCTCAGAATAAGGTGCAGAAAGTCTTAAGATTATGAACGATAAGTATTCTGTAAATGCAAATATTTTTTCTGGGTAAACAATTGTTTTTGACACCATCTAACTCACACGATGCTGCATTGATATTTGAAGAAGACAGTTTGATAAGGCCACGTTTTATAAATCGTGAAGACTGTCACATATCAGTATTAATATTGTTTTTATCTGCTTTATAGTCTTCAAAATTTTGGATTTCAATATAAACTGGAAAAAAACAGCAAAAAAACTTTAAGCCTCATTTTAAAACTTTTTAATCTAAAATATTTAAATATATGTATGTGTCAAGGTCTCAAACAAAAATATATTTTCTATAAAATGTCTCATTATAGGTGATAACATGTAAATGTGTGTAAAATATTTTTGCGTCTTGTTTCTTGGCCAATATTTTCAAAGTTTCTAGATCAGAACAATATACCATTTACCTGAAATTAAAAGGTTTAGGAATTTTTCTATTTTTGCAATTTCAGCCTAATGATTATTTTATAATGCATTTTTTTTTTAGCACAGAAAATAATTGATCATACATCATATGCATATTTAAACATATTTATAGCATAAGATAGAGTACAAAGGAAAATAAGATATATAACGAACACTTAACTAAAATGAACTCATTTAATAACAGCTATAGAACTCTTTTTAAACAAAGCAGAAAGGGGTGTATCATATAAAATATAAATTCATATTGTAGTTTTTTTTTAAATATAAATATAAAAGGAGTCAGTAGGTTCCGGTAGTTTTCTGCCCTATTGAATCATTTATTTTCAAATAAAGTATATAATTTTCTATAATCATGTTTTTCCAATGTTTCGTTAATTTTGAGATTCTAGATGAATAAAGTCGTTAGACAAATCAGTAGGTTTCTCGTACAGTTTTATCATATTTGTCAAGAATACAAAATAAAACTAAATCATTGTTCGAAGCGTTAGTTTTATTTCTATTAGTTATTCAATATCAACGAGAAAAGGTCTTCCCATAGTCTTAAAATAAATAGACAAGACATTAGCCAGTAACTGGGCGTATTGTTCAGTTGTTTGCTTATTCTTATCTTGTGGTGCTACCACCAATTTTCTTTGCATGAAATTAGCAAAACAATGGGTCGGTGGTATATCAGGAACTATTTATTCACCCGAAGTAGCTGTGTGTAACCCTAGTTTTAGTGGGGTTCGTGTTGCTCAATAATCAGTTTTTTGTGTAATTTTTACTTTTTGTCATATTTTATTTGTCAATTATGTTGCCTGTTTTTTTTACTTCGAATTATGGTATTCAATTGCCCCTAGAGCTTACTTTAAATTACTGCGAGCGTTCTTCGATACTGTATTGTTTTACATTTGCTGTAAAATAGTTATGTTTTTTCTTGTACTGATTTTTTTTTTTTTTTTTTATTCTATATTATTTCGTTTACATTTTTAAGTTAACCTGTTGCATTTAAAAGCGGTAATTTGAGATAAAAGCTAAAATTCATTCACCCAAACACAACACAAGTAATGAAACTTCATCAGTGGTTATCCTAGTCATTTCTAATTTTGTTTGTTTTTTGGAGAGATAGATTTTTGTATTTGATAGTCTTTGTTGAAATGTATTCACAACTGTTTTAGACAATTTTTAAAAACTTGGTTTATTGTTAATGTACATGTTAATTGATGAAGACCGTCAGATGGCTTTTGGCGTTTAGGGTAGTTGGGTTGTATTGCCGTCTTACCGACATTCATCTCATTTAACTCATATTCAAATGCTTTTTGGAGAACACAATAGGTTAGTAATCCGGAAGATATAAATTCACCTCGGACAAATGCATTTTTCCAATACTCAAACACTGCGCCGCGATATAATTTTATTGTTACATTCTGATCTTCTCTGGCATTACATGTTGAAATTGGCATATAAGGATAGAACAGATACAGCTAAATCTGCCTCTAATATTAACTCACATCTAAAAATTGACAATCAGGGTTGGTTGAAACTTTACCACAAAGGAATTGATTTTAGCTTCCCAACTGTGAACTTTTCATTTTTATGTAGCAACATTCCAGCAGCGCCTGTATATAGAGTATATATCTCTCAGTTAATACGATATTCCAGGGCTTGCATTCCCTATCATGGTTTCCTTGATAGAGGGTTGCTGCTTACAAGGAAGCTATTAAAACAAGAGTTCTAAGCGGAGTTGGTTGACCGTTATGGAATATTTGTATCACGGATGACGACGGATATGTTCCAATTGCCGTAATCAAAATCTCGTCCTCTTTTACTCGAATGTGACCTACTGAATGAGACATATCACCGGGCTTGTACTTACATAAGCAACACGATGGTTGCCACATGTGGAACATGATCTGCTTTCCCTTCCCAAGAACCTGAGATCCCCCTTTAACATTAGTAAATAACATATAAGATATGTATATTAGATTTGGAAATGTGCTAGTAAACAGTAATTGACATATTGTAAATATCAAATATAAAATAACAGAAATCACAATTTGGATATTCATGGAATGGTGAATTACCAAACATAGTTATACTTTTGGCTCAAAAACATAATTACAAGTATTCTAAAATATGTGGGTGCTTTTTACCTATAATGAAGAAGTAGAAACAGATTCAGAACTACAAGGTGCATTTTACGTTGTAGAAAAAAAAACGAAATTTGTTATTTATAAATGTCGCCTTTATGGATTTTTTTTTACCATATGATCATATTTATTTCAAGTTTATATCTAACAAATTGACATCTAATTTGTTGATGGACATCAGAAATTGTCTCACGTAATTTACCAAATAATTTACCTTCTGGCTATTATTCATTTTCATGTTTGTTAGTCATTTGAATATTGACTTTTCAAGTTTCGATTCACACCACCGAATCAAAATGACTCGAATCATTTGAAAAGAACACAAACAGTTGTTCCCCTAATTTTACTTTCGTTCTTCGATGAATATTCTGTGTGAAAATACTAATGTATTGTAAAAGATATAAACAACTTGATTGATTGAGAGATAATCGATTACAAATAAATATGAATGCTACACACTAAGATACACATAATTCGGAGATCTTTCAATAATCGTTTAAATTATGTACATTACGGCATACTAGATTAAAGGTTTCGATCATGTCTGTGATGGTATAACAGGGCATTTATAAAGCATATTTGTGAAAATATCACAGTAAATATGATTGGTATTAATTACTCTTAGGCTTTAGACAACAATTTCGTGCCATAAGTTCCAGTAAAATACCTAATAATACCCCCGTCGGTAAATCTTTAGCTTTTATCATAGGTCGTAATTTCACGTTTATAGTATTTTTGTTAATATCGAAACATTGCTAGCAGATGATCTCATTTTCGTATTTGTTTTCATTTCGTTTCGTTTCATCAGTTACAAACCCTTTAAACAAACAAGTCATAAACAGACCAGTGGTCATTCTTAGTTTCTTTGCTTGACTACTACGTGTTCTTCCTGTGACGCAGTATGTTGCAAAATGGTCACAACTTTTGTCGAAAAGGTCATATTCATATTTTTGAACTATTCACTTCCCAGCGCAAAAAAAAAAATCTAGCCTATTCATTTGCGCCTTCTTTACAATATTGCCTGATACTGAAGGCCACATAACATATATTCTGTGTTCAAAAAAATAAACGATTTGACTGATGACTGAATAGAAGCTTTTGCACCAAAAATATATACCGTAGAGACGCCTGAAATTGTATTTGTAGCCTCTATTATTTCAAATTTCTGGTCCGAAAGCTTTTTCAAAACTAAGAAAGATGATCATGTATCGCGCCAGCAAAAACGATATGAGCAGTTCGAGAAAACTGTAACTGCTTTTACACATTCACTGATTTCAGAAGTATCTAGAGCTCTTCTCTATTTTTAACTGGCGACATTATTTTCGCCATCTTCTTGTTGATTTTCCTCGGTAAAATAATGGTCAGAAACTTAAGAATCTCTTACATTCAATCAAGAAAAGTTTATCAGTGCTAAATTCCTTGAAAATATCAACCAGTCTGTTGTTTATACTTGATCATCAGGCGTTCAAATGTTTTCAGATTTAGTAATAAAGACAAAGACCTGTTTCAAATCAAAATCTCGATTATTTTAGGATATGCGATAAAGAAATGAACAGATTTCTGACCTATATCTACGTATCATCTGGCTTTCGCGACGTCTTAGTGCTGACTTGTTATATTTATGCTTGAAAATGTTTTTTTCATTCCTTTTATGAATGGGATTTTGCATAAAATTATTTATAATAGGCAATGTAGACTACATATGTTTTGTTTTTATATTATATCATCTACGACTTTTACAAAAGATATTTAGACGCACATGCAATAATTACAAATATTTAGAGTGTGCAAAGGTATTTTCAATATCGTGATCATTCCAAAACTGCGAGATTCTTTGATTTATCATTTCGCTTTGATTTTGCTTTCTGTAAAATCATATAATTGATTTTTCTGGTATTTTGTGTATTTCTTCTTTTTAAGCAGGTATTGTGCGTTAACTACCGTTTGTCCATACACTAAATAAGACAATAATTCCTTTGTTAAAGCTTCAAGGAGCGATCAGATTTCAGTTTTTACATTAACTATGCTTCTTTTTCTTCTTTCTTTTGGGTTTTCGGAGGCGACTTTCCTGGTGTGGACGTTGTGCTCTTTAAAATGTGCTTGCTAATTTTCATGTTGTTCAAGCTTTATCAAATTTCTAAATTAGCAGCATATAGAACCGGATGAAAACAGACAACATACTAGAACATCATTAAACATTTTATTAAAACACTTAACTATA